TGGGGACCGAACTGTTTCCCGATGTGTAATTACTGTCACGTGCGCAGGCGCACCTGACGCACTCTGCACGTGCCACGAACGTGGCGAACCTGGGGCGGCTGGAGTATGCGGCACACCTGGCGCACGTGACGCATCTGGCGCACCACGCGTGCCTGACACGTTCGGGCCCCAGGGGTGCTTGGCGCGCGTGGCGCGCATGGCACGCGTGGATCGCCCAAGCGTCGAGCATCTGGGGTCGGCGTGGGTTCACACTAGCTGTACGTCCAACGACGACCGCTAAACATGCTCAGGCACGGGTGTTACTTATGTGTTAGGAGGGCGGGTGGGAGTGAGCTAGACGGCTTGCTACCTAGAAGGGTGTCTTGATCACTGTTCCTTTATCAATGTTCACCCCCTCCCCCAAGCGGCCGGCGTCCATCCAGGAACCATGAGGACACCGTGACGGCCCGCCCCACCATCCCTGTCGAAAAACAAACCGCACTCTGCCTCCACATTTGGAGCATGCACGGACAACCGATGCGGCCCTCCACCATCCGTCAAAAATCAACTCAAAGTATACTTCGGGACAAAGTATAGAGTCATGTTCTTGAGGCCCGCGAGCACTTTGCATTGTTTTCGACCGGGGCGGCGGGGGTGTCAGCATATTCCTTGCTGCGCGCAGGGCTACCACCCCTGATAAAACCAAAAAGCAATACAACATGCACCTCGCGGCTAAATCTTGCTCATGCGCGGCCATCCCGCGATCACTATCAACTGGTTGTTGACAGAGACCACGGGGGGGGGGGGGGGGGCGCGTCGCCTGCTGTGCGCAGGCCCAAGAGACACAATGATGGGCATCGGTTTTCGACAAGGATGGTGGGGACAAAACTGTTTCCCGATGTGTGCTGCCACGTGCGCAGGCGCACCTGACGCACTCTGCACGTGCCACGAATTTGGCGAACCTGGCGCGGCTACACTGTGCGGCAAACCTGGCGCACGTGGAGCACGTAGCGCATCTGGCGCACCAGGAGTGCCTGGCACGCTCGGGCCCCAGGGGTGCCTGGCGCGCGTGGCGCCCCTCGCACGCGTGGCGCACCTCGCCCAAGCGTCGCGCACCCAGGGTCGGCTTGGGTTCCTAGTAGCTGTTCATCCAAAGACGACAGCTGAACATGCTCAGGCTCGGCTGCTACGTCTTCGTTGGGAGGGCGGGTGGGAGTTAGCTAGACGGCTTGCGCGCGGGTGGTTAGCTTGACCCTCCCCGTACCCCTCCCCTGGGCCTGGGGGGGGGGTGGCGCGACCCATTGGAGCACACAATATAGCCCAAGATGGATCCAAGAGGGCCTAGGAGAGCCCAAGATTGCCTCAAAGATGGCCCAAGATAGCCGAACATGATTCAAACCAGCCTTCGTGGACATACCTCCCAGAGGCCCGGAGACAGCCCCAAGACGGTTCCAAGTGCCCTTCGAGCCTTCCCGAGCACCCTCCAAGAGGCCGAAGTCCTTCAAACACATAGGGACACCCAGCGTGTTTAGCCTTCTCGCGCATTCGCTTCCGTTGGGCTTTGAAGCCTCAAGATCGCCCAAGAGAGCCCCAGGAGGGGCCCAAGAGGGCCCCAAGAGCCCAAGAGTGCTCCAAGATCGGCCCACAAAAGCCACAAAACGCAAGCTCCGAGGAAGGGAACTGAATTTAGCACCCCCTCTCTTTTTGAGCCATGGGTGCCCGGACAGAACACCTGGGCGACACAACCCGAAGGGAGGTGCCCAAGGTGCCTGCATTAATTCACATGCAGTCGGACCTCGCAACACGAACGGCGGCACGGACCTGCCCCAGGTGTTATCCGCGCCGCCGTTGCGAGGTGCCTCGAGATGCCACCCCGAGACGCGGCCACCGGCACCACCCCCACTTGGCCGCCGGCCTCAAGCAGCGGAGGCCCCGCTGCCCAAGGACTTAAGTTCCCGCGCCCCCCACGTCGGGGGACCCCTTCGAGTAACCCCATCGGGCCTCTCAGGGGTGGTACGGCGGGCCCGCACCTACTGTGGCTGGCCAACCACAGGGCAAGAGTCTCTCCCACAGCCCCGTCGAGCTGTGGTGACGATCGGGCTGCCAACCCGCCTTTTTTCCTGGGACGCCACGAGGGCACCCAGCGGCACAGGTGCCATTTTTGAGCCATGGGGCCCAATAGGCCTCCCAGACCCCGCCAAGACCCCCAAAATGAAGCTCAAGAGGACCCCAAGAGTGCCCAAAGAGGCTCCACGGGGGCCCCACGGGGGCCCTAAGAGAGCCCCTAAGATGGCCGCAGTCGTCCTTCAAGCACCTCTCACAACAACCTATATCCTATGCCCGACTGCTCATTATCCTTGTCATCGCCTCTTCTTTCCCTTCTCCTTCCCTGCCTCCCCCCTCCTCCCTCCTCCTCCTCCTCCTCCTCCTCCTCCTCCTCCTCCTCCTCCTCCTCCTCCTCCTCCTCCTCCTCCTCCTCCCCCCGCTCAAGCACGAGGGGCCCGAGCCTCGTAGTGCCATTTTTTGGCTCTATTGGGCTCGCTGCTCCCGCCCAGTGCCTTACCGTGGCGCTTGAGGGGCACGCCTCACGACTGGAGTCCTGCGGTTTTCGTTGGCTTCTATCTGGTAGGCGGTGGCTAGATCTGGGCAAATTTGTTCGTTTTCGTTGGCGACCTGTTCTTCAAGCTCGAGGCCTCGGGTAAGTGGGGGATGAGCCCGGAGTGGCTAGCATTCCCCGCCGTGCGGGACGAGCCCTGGAGCGGCTAGCATTCCCCGCCGTGGTATGCAGTGGCGGCCTATGTCAGTTTGTAAATCGTTGAGTTTTGGCTGTGGTGTCAACTTTTATGCTTCACCGTCTATTTCTCGCGCGTTTACTGCATGGGCTCTGCTGCTATTGAGTGCCGTGGTATCCATCGTCTGGGATGTCTGCAGTTGGTGGTTTTCCTAGTGCAATTCACGCTCGCCATGGTGTTGGTGCTCAGTCTCTGTATGCGGGACGAGCCCTGGTGAGGCTAGCATTCCCCGCTGTGGTAGCAGTGGTGGTCTTTGTCGCCAGGTAATTCGAGGAGTTTTGGCAGTGGTGTCAATTCCTTTGCTTCACTTTCTTCTCTCAGGCATATGCTGGGCGGGCCCTGCTGCCATTTATTTCAATTTCCTCGTTTCTACATTGGTTGTTTGCTTTTCACTCGTTTGAGTCTCGCCGTAATGCCAATGCACTAGCTTCGGTGATTGCCACAGCAGTACGGTTTGTATGGGGGCCATTTGTTCTGTCGCATGCGACGGGCGGGTGGCCATTCCCGCTGGGCTGATATTCGTGGGCGCGGTGGGCGTGCGGTGCTGGGAGTGCTTGGCTTAATAATACCGTACTGTGTTGGGTACATACGGCGGCCAACCTCTACAGACGGCGTCAACTTCGTTTCCTCGGGTGTCATCTTGGCGGGCAGGCGCGAGGGCCTCAAGGTGTTCGTGTGAGTCGGGCAGGCAACCTTCTCTCTTTCTTTGAGTTGTATGACTACGTCATTGATCCCATTCCCATTCCCATTCCCATTCCCATTCCTCCTCCTCCTCCTCCTCCTCCTCCTCCTCCTCCTCACCCTCCTCATCTTCCTCCTGCCGCGTTACTCCTCGTCCTTCTCCTCCTCTTCCTCCGCCTCCTCCTCCTCTTCCTCCCCATCCTCTTCTTCCCCCTCCTCCTCTTCCGCATCCTCCTCCTCATCCGCCTCCTACCCCTTAAGATGGTGCCAGGAGGTCAAGCATGGATCAAGATAGCCTCTGGCAGACCCCCAAGAGGCCTCAAGGCAGCCTCAAGATGCTCAGAATAGCGTCCGACAGCCTCTAGCCGAACATGGCTCAGCAAACCCTCCAAGTGTCCTCAAGAACGCCTCCAGTCGTGTCTGGATGGGCTGGTGGGGATGCGCGAGGCGTCAAGAATTAAGGAGCTGCACCATATTGAACCAGATGAGGCCAGCGCAGAACCATTCAGCCAGATTGCGCAAGCCTGCCTGCACCAGCGGTGGAAACACACGGGCCGATGCTTAGGTCAAACTCCCGAGAGTTGCAACCTGACAGAGGGGAGAGCCATGTGAACCGCGCCTCCGCTCCTCAAACCAACATTAGGTCGGGCGTGTCCTCCGACAGGCGGATGCTGGGCGAACATTGGAAAAATAGTCAAACATAATCCACAATAGCAGAAACATACCTTCAAAAAGCGTCCCCAGACCATGTTTTGTCTAGTTCTGAATATTCCTCCTGCAGAGGGACACGCCCGACTTAACCCCAACACCCGAACCCCACGTCCCCCCTGCAGCTCCCATTTCTCGGCCCGCCAAGGGTGTGCGCCACGGCGAGCGCTGGAAGCGATTTATTTGGGCTGGGCTCCCGACGCGACGGGCCAGACGGTCCCAGAAGGAAGAACGAATTCGCGGAATCAAGCTCAGCGCACTACACGGGCTGCTTCCCAGAAGAAAAAAATCCCGAAGCTCCGTCTTAGCTTCTCGGGTTTGCCAACCTTCGCCCGGCTTCTGACAGAACATCCAGGGCTGCACTCCTCAGGATGCATCAGAACATCCTGCGCAAGAACGAAAAACAGTAAGGTCCCCTCCCCGAACCGACCTCGATCTTATACCTCGATCCAACTGTACGTGCACAACTCTCCCCGTCGTCGCCTCCTTTCCCTCATCTCCCTCGTCGTCGTCTTCTGTCGTTCACTCGTCTTGCCGCTGGGCCCCGCTGCGATGGTAAAAGAGTGCACAACTCGCCTCGCCTGGCAGAGGGCGTCCGCGGCAGGCCCTTCCCTCAGTTGTCTGGGTTCCTGGGTCCGTCCCTCGTTCCCCCTTTCGGTCCCTTTCGGGCCCTTCGCTCGTTGTCGTCGACTTCGGGCAGGAGTGATTGGCAGGCGATCACCCGCGAGCAAATCCAAAAAAGCGCCAGGCCCTTCCCTGCGGCAGCTGCGGCAGGCAGGCAGGCGGCGGCAGGCGGCGGCAGGGAGCCCCCAGTCCCCCCCGCGGGCGGGGGGGGAGAACCGTCGGCGCGCACGCTGCTGGCCAGCAGCTCGTCCTGGCCATACGCTCTCCCTCCTCCTTCTTCTGTTTCCTCTTCTTGCGAATATTCTTATCATTACTCTACATCTTCATCGTCATCTTCACCTTCACCTTCATCAGCCTCATCATCATCATCATCATCATCATCATCATCATCATCAGCATCATCATCATCATCATCATCATCATCATCATCACCAGCATCATCAACACCAGCATCATCAGCTGTATCGTGGTCATCATCATCAGCACCAGCAACACCATGATCAGCATCATCAGCATTATCATCAGACACATCAGCATCATCAAAATAATCACCAACATTGTCAAAACCAGAATCACCAATACAATCATCATCAGCAGCATTAGCATTGACAGCATGATCATCACCAGCAGCAGCAGCAACACCATCAGCATCATCATCAGCAACATCAGCATCACCACGACCATCGTCATCATCATCATCATCATTAGCATCGTCATCGTCATCAATCAGCATCCCCATCATAAGCGCCATCATCAACACCATCAGCATCAACATCATCATCAGCATCCTCATCATCATCAACGTCATCGGATTCATCGGAATCATACACATGATCACAAGACACATCGCCAGCAACATAAGCAGCTGCATATTCAGCATCAACACCATCATACACGTCACCATCATCATCAGCATCATAACCAGCATCACATGCGTCACCATCATCATAGCATGACCAAGAGCATCATCATCACCAAAATCATCACCAACACAGTAAGTAGCAGCATCACGATCACGACCATCATCATCATTTCCATAATCATCAGCATCGTCATAGTTACCCTCATCCGCATCACCATTATCATCCGCACCTCATCATCATCAGCCTCACCGGTATGATCAGTCGCATCACCAACCGTATCACCAGCATACGCATCAGCTCATCAGCATCAACGTCAAGATAATCGTCATCTCCATCATCATTAACATTACCATCATCATCACTTCCACAACCGTCCGCATCACCACCATCATAATCAATATCATCACAACCATCATCGGCATCAACATCATGAGCACTATCACCATCATCAGCATCAGCAGCTTCGTCACCGTCGTCGTAACACGCATCATCATCAGCGACTGCATCCGCAACGTCAGCATCATCTTCATCATCCGCATGCTAGTAATCACCACCATCATAATGATGATCAGCATCACCATCATCATCAACATATGTATAACGATCATCCTCCACATCACCAACACCAACCGCATCAGCGACACCCTCATCAACATAAACAACATCAACCTCATATTCATATGAATCATCATCAACATCATCAGACTCATCATACTCACCATCACCCTTATCAACGGCATATGATGACATCTGTCATCAGACTCAGCAACATACTCAACAACATCATCAACAGCGGCATCAACATCAATCGATCGCGTCAGCACCACAAGCATCAACATGACCATCAGCATCATATCCGTGACCATCATCAACTCCGTTTACATCATTACCATCAGCAACATCTCAACACCATCGTCATCAGCATCAGTTTCATCATCGACAGCATCATCATCATCAGCAAAATCAGCATCGTCAGCATGATCAACATCGGAATCATCAACATCCTCATCGGCATCATCGTTAGCACCATCAACAACATCACCATCATCATCCCTGTCCTCCTCCTCCTCATCATCATCGGCAGCATCACCAACATAATCACCATCAGCATCAGCATCATCACCATCATCATCCTGCTCATCCTCATCATCATCCTCATCCTCATCCTCATCCTCATCATCCTCATCCTCGCCCTCATCCTCATATCCGCATCCTCATCCTCGTCCTCATCGTCCTCCTCATCATCATCACCACCATCATTATCATCAGCCACCCCCCGAGGCTCTGTGATGATCAGCATCATCATTATCATCATCAGCGCTCCGAGGCTCCGATGATCAACACTTCGAGGAAATTCGAGGATCGAGGTGCCGAGATTCCTCGAGGTTCCGAGGACCGAGGATCGAAGGTCGAGGATGGATGATCCAGGCTTCGACGGGATCCAGTATTCGGGCTGGGGGGACCCGGCGGCAAGAAATTCAACTCCGATCCACGGACCTCGGGGATCGCGATCGAGGGACAGTGAGAGGTCTGCTCGGATGCGGTCCCCAGGTACCTGCCAAGGCCCCTCCCGGCCAATCTGTCGAGCCGCGTCCAGCCGTGGCGGCGAGGGCTTCTGGAAATGACCGAAAACCTCCGAAACCACGAGGACGACGACGGCGGCGGTGGCATCGGCGAGACGGAGAAGAAGGATGATGGGGGAGGAACGACATGGGATGTGGAACATGAGGACGATGATGATGATGATGATGACGATGATGATGCTGATGATGACGATGACGATGACGATGATGCTGATGATGATGATGACGATGATGATTAGGAAGGTGAGTAAGCTCGCGGCCATAACGACAACGCCGGCGGTAGCGGTCGGCGTCGACGACGGCGGGAAGAAACGGGGAGGAGAGAGGATGAGGAAAGGGTTGAATAACAGAAGGAGGCGTCGTCAGGATGAAAGGGAGGACAAGAAAGAGGGAGGGAGAGGAGGAGGGAGGGGAAGTGTAAGGAGGGAGAGCTTCAGCGACGTCGCCGACGGCGACGACGCCCGCCAACTCTGGAGGTCTCTGGAGGCCTCAGCCAATCGTCGCCAGATGCCCTCCGCCTCAGGTCGGGGGTGACGACAGGAGGGGATTCGCCAAAGGGAGGGGTAGCGAATCAGCTGCGTGCTACTGGTGTGCCCGCCACCTCCCGTCCTCCTGGGCGCCTGAGTCGAGGAGACCGCTTGGCGGCGCGGCCGAACCCAGCTGGACTGCAGCAACATGTCCCAATACCTGAGATCCGACGGCGCGAAAACTACCACACCACCAAAGCCCCATACCCCATCTTTCTGCGGCGTCTCCCGAGCCGGATCGCTCTGTGAGGGTCCCAGGGTCCGAAACTGAGCCAAACCACTCAGTTTGGAAAAACTGCAACGCTCGGATCTGAAGGATCCCCTCCCGTTTTCGTCCCAGGCCCCACAACTTCTGACCGCTTCACTGGGCCCGAAGCGGCCTGTGGGAGCCGAAGCAAGTGAGAGAGCGACTGTCGAAATCATCCCCTTCGGATGTCCGATGGCCGTCCGATGGCCGTCCGATGGCCGTCAGAAGGCCCTCCGATGGCGGCCCTCCGAGCGGCCCTCCGGGCGGCCCTGCGGGAGGGCCCTCCGAGGGGCCCTCCGAGGGGCCCCCCGAGGGCCGCCCGGAGGACGTCCGAGAGCGGCGGCGGCAACGGGCAGCCGGCGGAGCCGCCCGCGGCGCGCCGCAGGGGCGGGGCAGCGCGGGGCGCGGGGGGGTCCTCCGCGCCGTCGGGGCGCGCCGCGGCGCGGCGCTCCCGCCGACGGGTGTCCTCGTCCAGCGCGTGCCGCAGGAGCCTTCGGGCGTTGGCAGAACTGGGTGTGTGGTGATGTGTATACCGGGGGGGCGCCCCGCCTGCCCCGCTCCACTACAACTGGAATTGCCGTCACCAGAAAAAAACACCCGCTACGGCAAAACTGGTTTGGTGATCCTGGCTAGTTTAGGGGCTCACTACGAACCCGGTGCTCTTGCCTGGGGTCCTGGCTTTACCCAGAGCCTGCCCGGGCGCCACTGCCGCCGGCCGAGGCCGCTGGGGCTGAGCGTCGTCGAGGCGATCCTTCCCGAAATAGAATTCCAAAAAAAACTGCATAAACATAAACTTTTAGCGCTCCGCACGGATTTCTTGGATCTGCGGTGGACCCCCCTCCCTGGCGCGCTCCAGGGGCCGCGCCGGAGGCGCCGCGGGGGGGGGGGGTCAGCGAACCAAAAACTTGTTTATGGCGTTTTTTCTTCTTCGACCACCGTGCTCACGCACGCCCGTCGCCCAATCTCTGGGTCGCCCTCCGCGGCGATCACAGCTCGTCCGTTCTTTCGTGTCCTCACTGGAGTGGCTCCTCGGTCCACTGGCCGACTTCACCCACCGGGGTGGGGATGTAAGATCCCCTCCTCGGGGCTCCAGCCCCCCCTCCCTCCTCCCCCAATGCCAATGGCATCGCCTGCCCCCCCCTTCCCGCCCCGCTGGATGGGTACGCTCAGGTCGGGCATGTCCCCTACAGGCGGATTTTGGACGAAAATAACAGATACCCACAAAATACTCAAACATCTTGAAAAAAGATGAAGCAATTGCCCCCAGACCATTTTTGTTTTAACTATGTTGGCAGATTCCTCCTCTAGAGGGACACGCCCGACTTAAAGGTACGCCCGTGAGCCTCGCGAAGGCCTCGCGAATGGGATCGCCCCCCCTCCTGTGGCCGTGGCCCTGTGGGCCGTGGCCCCGTAGTCGTGGCCCTGTGGGCGTGGCGTGGTGGTGGGTGCCGCCGCTCCCTTCCCCTGTGGGGCGTGGAATGTTTCGTCGTCGTCGTCGTGTTCGTCGTCGTCCTCGTCTTCCGTCTTAGGTCGCCCAACGTCGTCGTCGACCGTCGTCGTCGTCCGTCCTCGTCCGTCGTCGGCGTCGTCGTCGTCGTCTTACGTCGTCCAACGTCGTCGTCGTCGTCGTCGTCCGTCATCGTCCGTCGTCGTCGCTTTACGTCGTCCAACGTCGTCGTCTTACGTCGTCGTCGTCGTGGTCGTGGTCGTGGTCGTGGTCGTGGTCGTGGTCGTGGTCGTGGTCGTGGTCGTGGTCGTGGTCGTCGTCGTCGTCGTCGTCGTCGTCGTCCCCCCCCGATTCCATCTGGGGGGGGACCTGTTGAATCCTGGGGCACATCCCATCTGGGGAGGGGGGACTTGCGAACCCTCGACCAGGGATCAGCTATGCCTGCGGGTCGCGGGATGGGTCGCGGGTGGGTCGCGGGGTGGGTCGCGGGGCGGGTCGCGGGTGGGTCGCGGGTGGGTCGCGGAAACGAGCCCGCCGCAGGCGATGAGTATTCGTTAAAGCAACATGGGTTGGTTGAGGGGGGTGTCGCAGGTGGGTCGCGGGTGGGTCGCAGGCGGGTCGCGGGGTGGGTCGCGGGTGGGTCGCGGGCTGGGTCGTGGGGTTGGTCGCGGGGTGGACGACGCCGAACAACAACAACAAACAAACAAACACACACACACACACAAACACACACACACACACAAACAAACCAACAAACCAACAAACCAACAAACCAACAAACAAACAAACAAACAAACAGCACTAATCCGCATCGCGAAATCCCGCTTCAGCCACTTCATCGCGACACCCGCATCGCGAAATCCCCACCGCTCGGCCTCCTCGCTCTCATGCTCGAGGACCCTCTCCGGGGCCCGTGGCCCGACGACCGCCGTCGGCTGCCTCTCTGCCGTGGCCCAACGGCCGCCGACGACCGCAGCCCGGCTTCTCCCTCGGGCCCCAGGGGGGAGGCCCCCAGACCTCCAACGATCGGGGATGGACAGACCTCCCTTAGTAGAACGTGGTTTAGTGAAAACGACCTGAGGCCCAAACCTGGCGGGCGCAGGCCTGGAAAATAACGGCCACGGCGTCCTCTCGAGAACCGAAAACGGACAATTCACTAATCGACGTGTCACTGTTGGGGGTTCTGTCCACCCCCGAAACGAGGGGAACGAACAACGACATAAACCTACCAACTCGGAGGTCCGCGCGGGTATCTCGGATCCGCGCTGGGGCCCCCCCCTGGCGGCGCCTCCGGCGCCGCCCCCGGCGCGCGGAGTGCGCCAGGGAGGGGGGCCCAGCGCCTGTCCGAGAAATCCGCGCGGACCTCCGAGTTGTCGTGTTCATGTCTTGAGCAGGGACCGACCGTCCCGGCATTCCTATAGGCCTATCACGATAGGTTCTTGGAACCCAAAAATGCTCTAAGAGCAAAGCCAAGATTCTTAGAAAATGAGCCCGATGTGTTAAAGCAAGACAGTCCCCACCAGACATGTTCAACGAGCTGTTCGTGCAGACCACAAGGGCTTCTTGGAACACTCTCTGGTGCGCCTATGGGCAAGCCAGGACGCTTCGCCACTGCTGGAATGCCCGTCGTCGCGCCCCTACCGGCGAGCACCCAGAACGCTGGCGTGGCCTGGCCCCCCCTGGCCGCTTCACCCCCGAGGCGGGGGGGGGCGCAGGCGGCCCCCTCTCCAGGCCTCGAGGGGCACATCCCCCGACTGGGGTGGTGGGATGGCGGGGATCGGGAGTTGGGCTGGGGATGGGGATCGGCTAACTGGCCATCGCTCGGACGTCCATTCCCTGGGTTTTTTTTTTCGGTTTCGTGCGTGGTCTTTTCACCAAATGATAAAAGATTGTTCCTCGAGAGTCCTCGCCGAAGGAAAAATGCACACGTCCGAGCGATGCCGAGCTAAACGACACGGAGCCCATGCCCTTCGTCATTCCCCTGCCCACGAGCCTCGAGAACCTGTCGGGTCGGGCGAGAAAGGGGGGGATAGCAAACGGGGGGGGTTGAGAATCAGCTCACGTAGCTGATTTTCCCGGCGCCTGCCGGCGCCGGAAGCGGCAATGTCTCGAGAAATGGGCCCCTCGGTGGGGCCGAAACCAGCTGCGTGCAGCAGATTTCGTAACCCCATCTTTCCCTATCCCCCCCTTTCGTTCGGCCCGAGCCTGGAGAGGCGGGCCCGTGTGGCACGAAGGCCTCCGGCGCGGCCGGCGCCGGGCCCCATATAGCTAGGGGAGGGGGGGCCGCCTCAGGGGGGCGGCGGCTCGGCATGCGCAGCCCCCCCGGCCCCCCCCCCGGAGGGGTCCTCTGGCTTGCGCAAGGGCCGACCCTCGCGGCAGCTCTAATAGGCCTACCACGACACGTTCTCAGAACCCAGGAATGTTCTGAGAACAAAACCACGGTTCTTATAACAGATTCCAGATGTGTGAAAGCAGGACGGTCCCAGCCAGAAATGTGCTAAGAACAAAAGCAGCGTTCGTAGAAAAGATGCCCGACGTGTTCGTAAAAGCAAGACGGTCCCAGCAGAGATGTGCTGAGAACACGTCGTGGAGACCGCAAAGAGTTCTTCGAACCCTGTCTGGTGGGCCTCTAGGCACGCCAGGACGCTCCGCCACTGCTCGACTGGCTCTCCGGACCTCTGCCACGCGCCACTGTCTGCGGGAGCGCGGCCTCCGGGGGGAGGCACCGCCCGCTCGGAACGGGAGCCCAAGAAGCAGCAGCCAGGATCTGCTCCATATGGGGGTGGGGGAAGGGGGAGGGGTGGGAGGGGCCCGCGCCGATCGGCAGAGCAGCGAGTAAAAGAGCGACGAGCACGTGTCGTTCTTCGCTCCCCCACCCACTAGGGAGCCCACAAAGGACGTACGCGCCCAGCTATGTACATGAACACGGCCCCTTGACCCGCGAGACCGGCCGCGTGATACGAACATTCGCGCGATGCGAAATCTCGAAACCAGCGTGGATTCATGTACATGTACGTCCTTTTGTCGCTCCCCCACCCACGAGCATCGAGACCATCGGGAGACGGCCCCGTGCGGCACGAAGGCCTCCGCGGCGCGGCCGGCGTCGGGCCCCCGGGGCGGGCCGCCGCCGAGGGGGGCGGCGGCTCTGGGCATGCCAAGCCGCGGCCCACCCCCCGGGGGAGGGGTCCTCGGACTGCTGGGGGCCCCGAGGCTTGAAGACGAGCACGGGGCACGGGATGTCTGGGTCTAGGTCGGGCCTGGCCTCCTACAGGCGGGCTTCGGGACGAGACATCAAGCATGCCACCGCGGCCCACCCCAGGGAGGGGTCCTCGGACTGCTGGGGGCCCCGAGGCTTGACGAGCACGGGGCACGGCATGTCTGGGTCTAGGTCGGGCCTGGCCTCCTACAGGCGGGCTTCGGGACGAGACATAAAACATGTCCCTAAAAAAATGTCCAAACATGCTGCAAACATGTCAGAAGCATCGTCCCTGGACACTTGGTTTGACCAGTCTTGCATCTTCCCCCTGTGGAGGGACAGGCCCGACTTAAGTTCTGGGTCCTTCCTCCTCGCCGTGGAAGGTCTCAGGAGGCTCCCCCCGCGCGCGCTGAGCGCGGAGGCCCCCGCGGGGGCACGGTGGGGCGCCAGAAACGTCGCTGACATAGGCTCAGATACTCGAGACGAGCCCACCTCGCATCGTCTTCACTCCTACTCCTTCCTCCTCCTCCTCCTTCTCCTCCTGCTCCTCCTCCTCCGTCCTGGTCCTCCTGCCTCCTTCTCTCTCCTCCGTTCTTTTCCTCCTCATGTTCCCCCGACCCCCTGGCCCATCCTCTTCCCCCTCGAATTACCTCCTCGCGCCTCGCCTGCACATCGCACTCCGCACCCCCTTCTCCTCCTCTTCCCCCTCCTCCTCCTCCTCCTCCTCCTCCTCCTCCTCCTCCTCCTCGTCCTCCTCCTCTTCCCTCCTCCTCCTCCTCCTCCTCCTCCTCCTCTTTCCCCTCCTCCTCCTCCTCCTCCTCCCCGTCTCCTCGCCTCCATCTTCCTCCTCCTCTTCCTCCTCCATTTCTACTCCTGCTCGTCCTCCCATCGCTTCCATCCTCCATCCTCCATCCTCTCCTCCTCCATCCTCTCCTCCTCCTCCTCCTCCTCCTCCTCCTCCTCCTCCTCCTCCTCCTCCTCCTCCTTCTCCGCCTCATGACCTCGCACTTCGCCCATCCTCCTCCTTCTGCTCCTGCTCCTTCTGCTCCTCCTCCTGCTCCTTCTGCTCCTCCCGTTGCTCTGCCTCCTCCTCCTCCTCCTCCTCCTCGTCCGCCAAACGTCAAAGATGCTCGATCCGCGTTCCTCCATCCTGAGCGTCGTCGTCGTCCTCCTCCTCCTCGTTCTCCTCCTCCTCCTTCCTGTGCTTCCGCTGCTCTGCTGGGGGACTGCGGTCCTGGTAGCACAGCCATCGTGCTACCCAAAGGAACGCACGACATCTTTGTCTGCCCAGGGCGCCCCCCGGCCACGACTTGGGTCCCCCGGCCCAGATCACAAGGAACGGCCCCAGAACCAGAGCCCCTCCGGAACCCAAAGCGGTCCTGATCTCGGCGTCCCGACTGTACGTGTCGAGACACCCCGTTGAAGACGACGGGAGCACGGAGGTCTCGGCAACTCTCAAAGGATGGCCCCTGCTGTTCTGCGGAGAAGAGGCCCCCAGGGTCCTGCTGGGCACCGAGATTCTCGACCTGGGCCCGTCCCTCATCTTCGTCCTGCCCTCTGCTCCTCCTCAAGCTTCGCCCGTCTGCTGTCATCCACGACATGTGTTGTATTAGTTTTCTCCTTTCACCTCCTGCCTCCTCCTCCTCCACCTCGACCTCCTCCTCCTCCTCTCCCTTCATCCTCCTCTCTTCCTCGTCTTTCCCTGCGTTCCGCCGTCTCCTCCTCTTCCGCATACTTAACTGTCACCCTCCTCAATCCTCATCCTCCCGCTTCTCCTCCTCCCACATACGTCTCGGCCTCCTCCCTCCTCCCTCCTCTTCCCTCCTCCTCCTCCCTCCTCCTCCTGCTCGTCCTCCTCCTCCTCCTCCTCCTCTTCCTCCTCCCGTTGTTTTTCCCCTCTCATTCTTCTCCGCCCCCACCCCCGCCAGCTCAGCATCGCGCTCTCCTCTCCCCATCTCGCCCGCGCCTGAGGGTGCTCCGGACCTGCGCGTCGTCCTCGGCGAACACCTGGCGCGGCGGGGGGAACAGCGGGACGCGGCAAAGCGTAGGAAGCTCATCGCCACCAGAGGGGTAACTAAACTAATCAATTCTGGCGACCCTAGATGAAGGACTCTGAATCCAACATTAAGTGGAAATTAATTCTATGTTCCGCGGCACCCGCCGCACAACAACGACGATACCGCTACGACTCAACGCCGACGATAGCTACGGCTACGAGAAGGAGGAGGAGGAGGAGGAGGAGGAGGAGGAGGAGGAGGAGGAGGAGGAAGAGGAGGCGGAGGAGGAGAGGGTAAGGTCTTAGGACCAGTCCTATTCACCGCCGAGAGGACAAGGGGGACCATACCAAACTTTTTTAGCAGCCACTACTACTATGTGAGCGACGATAAAGCAAAAGGTCTTGCGCAAGGCGACGTAGCGACCTTACGCGGCAGGTCACGCGGACCGCCGGAGCGTCACGAGACTCTGGAAACGAGGCCGCAACGCGCAAACTTACGCGGACAGTTTGCGCGCCAGTGTCGGCGCAGACGGTCGTTTTTACTGCGTCGCTCATATGTCCTCCTTGAGAACGCTCGTCCGACATGAGCGGCGTGGCCAGAAAACGCCCGCCACGGAGCGCATAGTAAAAATTTCTCGGTGCGCGCGTCGCCTTTTTTTTGCACACATAAGATAAGCATGCTAAACAAATCTTGCAGAGAGGGGGGGGGAACGGGAAGGGCGCAACTCAGATCCCAACGCCCCCAGCCCGAAGAAGGAGAGCGCCCCTGGGACGCCAGATCATTTTGATTTGGGGGACGAGCAGAACTCGCAACGCGAAATGAACCTCGAGGTTGAGCTCGCGAAGACGGACCCCGAACTTTTCAACAACATGGCCAGAGTGCCCCTTGCCTCTGGCCCCCGTGGCCTGGTGCGTCGCTCCTGCGAAAACGTACAAATTTGGCGCGGCATCTCCCTTCTCCGCCTCGTCTCCTCGCCGTCATCCCATCCCTCCTCCCGCAAAGCCCGTCGGGCATTTGCGTGAACACGACCCGACTGAGAAGCCCTCGCTCTGGTTCCTCGCCCATGCAGCCCTTGTGAAAACTGGCGCAGCAGTGCTGGAGCATCTTCGGCGGTCATGACAACCCCAGGCAGTGCATGCAATTGTTGCGGCGGGCGTCGCAGTCGCGCGCGCCGTTGTCCAGCGCGGGCGGCGCACTGGACGGCGACAGGCCCGAGGTCGGAGGCAGCTCCACGGGGCAGCCCGTTCGCGGTGTGGCAGAAGAGCTTCTTCTCGCCAGACCAGCCGCGGACCCGCTGCAGACGGCCCAGGTCGGCGTGATCCGCGCTGCAGGAGATCGACGCGCGCACCTGTTGATACCGGAGCAGCGCCGTGGAGATGACGCTGCTCCAGCGCGGCCGGCGGCGGCCGCTCTTCGTGCTTAGCCTCGGGGGCGGGCCGCCCGGTGCGGGCGCCCGTCGTCGTCGCACCTGTGGCCCATGATGACCTGACCCGCGCAGACAGCCCACTCTGCGAGCTGCCCGTCGACCTTTGTCCTTCCTTCCTCCGCCAACGGCCACAGGAGCAGAGGTTGCAAACTATCGTTTGGTCGTTTGGTCGGTGGCGTGGCAGGCACCGACAACGTCTGCTTCTGCACTCCCGCGCCACGTGCCCCCTGCGCTCCCATTTAACGAGCACGGCAATGACACCGTACGAGAGCGAAGTCGCCCTTGTGGTCGTGCGTTGGGCTGACTACCGCGCCTGCGAAGACTCTCGCAGCGGCTGGCATCTCTCCCAGTACCTTGAGCGGATCGTACTGAAAGCTGTCACGCGCCAGCGTCGATCTCCAGTCCCCCTTCATGAACTCCCGGGATTTGAAGAAGCGCCTGCCATCCAAGAAAAGGTGCGACACCAGGCCCAGCACGCGCCACTCAGGGTGGTCGCGGCAGAGCGCGATGGGTGCATCTATGCCTGCGTGGTGCCGCACCCAACTCGTCTGAACACTGCCAACCTGTCCATGCCAAGCGTCTGGCTTGGACGCCTGACTAGCCATGGTTTGCCGCCAAGGGCAGCTCCCCTGTGAGGTCGTTCCCGGCCAAGACATTCGCTATGGCGCGAAAAAACACCACGAATGGTCTCGCATTGGCACCCGTACCGCGCGTCTGCTCGATGACCCAGAACTAGCATCTTCAAAAATCGCGGTGCGTGGATCGGGAAGTCGATAGCTGTGTGCTCCCGGCTCGTGATCTGAATGGTGGTCTGGATGTTCGGCGCGTCGCGTACCCAGCCGTACTGCGCCTCTGCGAGAGGCCCAGATTACACTACTTGTGTCCCTTCCCGGGCTGGGAACGGCAGGAGAGCTGCTTGCGCCACTTCCCTGGGGGCCTTGCCAAGTCGTTTTGTCTCCTTTGCGCCCGTGTTTATGTTTTCGTCGTTCTGTGATTTTCGTGCCCAACACCTCCAGCCAGCCCGCCATGGCATCAGGCTGGACATGCCTCTTCATGCGTCGGCGGCCAGCAGAGTTCTGGTGGCTCTACGGCGCCTTCGAGGCATTGTCCTTGAATCCCAAAGCTGAGCTCCAGGCTCGCCAGAACTGCGACGGAGTCGGCGGAGGCGAACGCGGAGGCGGCGGGGGCGGCGGGTGGGGCGGCCTGGTGGTCGCCTTCTTGGTGGTGGTGGTGGTGGTGGTGGTGGTGGTGGTGGTGGTGGTGGTGGTGGTGGTGGTGGTGGTGGTGGTGGTGGTGGTGGTGGTGGTGTCAGGCGGTGCCGTGCTCGGCGGAATGAACGACGCGTTGGTGGTCGTCGTGGTCGTTGAGCCCAGCGTCGGCGCGACGAGCGGGAGAGGCAGCAGGAGCAGCGACAGCCCCAGGGGAGGAGCAGACACGGGCAGCAGCTCGGGCCGCGGCCAGGCATGCGCACCACGCCGAGCTCGCCCGCGCCAGTGGCCCATCCACACCTGTGGGTGGCCTCCTGGGCGTAACGTTAGGTCGGGCATGTCCTCCAACAGGTTGATGTTTCAAGAAACCTATATATATATATATATATACACGTGTATAGTCAACAAGTACTTGAACAAAAACACTCAACGTCACGAAACATCGTCCCGAGACTATTTCTGGCCATTCTCGAATACTCCGCCTGTAGATGGACACGCCCGACTCAAAGCGTAACGTCGCCGCCCCGGCCCACGCAGCTCAAATCGCCGTGGCGCCGCCCGCCCCGGCAGGCCAGAAGAGCCTCGGCGCAGGCCGCGCCTCACGCGGGGGCCGCGGCCCGTGCGCGCGGAAATGCTTTAAGCAGGGACCGACCGTCCCGGCATCCCTACAAGCCTACCACGACATGCCCTTGGAACCCGAAAGTGTTCGAATAACACGCACGCTGCTCTTCGAACAAAAACCATAAACCGGACGCGTCAAAAACAAAACAATCTCAGCCAGATAGGTTCGAAGAACATCTCGTGGAGACGACAACTGGTTCTGAGAACATTCTGTGGTGGACTTGTGGGGAAGCCGAGACGCTTCGCCACTGCTGGAGTGATGGCGCAGGCCCCCGTGCAGCCGCCGCCGCCGCTGGCGCCACACCCGCCGTACGCGCCGCTGTCAACGTACAGTCACAACCCGCACGGTAAGGATGGGCAGCCTCCCCAAAGGTCACCCTTGCATTGTGGATGCCATGACAATGGACACTCGAACAATTCTATCATTGAATTCAAGATGTGCTTAAAATGTGTAACACATGTTCCAAACATGTTCCAACCATGATTTTACATGTTTCAAACATGTTTCTGACATCTGGAAATCGTTTGGCAGCATGCTTCCTCTCCATTAATCGTCCTCTACAACCCTTGCCTTAGTGGGCCCCGGAAAAGGCAGGGCCATTTTTCCACCGTTTCCGAAAAAGTGTCCCTTGAAAATGGAAACATCAAAAAAAACGGCGACTGGAAACGGCAACAAAAACGGCTCCAGAATTGGAACGGGAGCGGGAAACCGTAAAAGAACGGCGACGGAACTGGTAAAAGACGGCGCCGGAACCGGCAAAAAAACAGCAAAACGGAACCGGTAAAAAAACGGCCCTGTCGTTTCCAGGGCCCACTAAGACTCTTGCATCCCTGCCTCCTCGGTCCATCCTTGGCAAACCTGCGTTGGCCGCGCCCCGCTCGAGAAGCTTCGACGTGGGCGTGCGAGACCCTCGGCACCCTTCTCGCGCATCCTCGGCGCCACCGCCGCCGCACGCGCCGCCGCCGCCGTGCGCGCCACCCGCGCGGCAAGCCCCGCCGTGGCCTCCGGAGGACCCTGCGCCGAGTCCGCCGGAGCGGAACTCCATTGGGCGCCGAGGGCGCGACGACGACGGCGACGACGGCGACGGCGACGACGACGACGACGACGACGACGACGACGGAGACGGCGACGGCGACGGCGACGACCACGACGACAACGACGACGACGGCGACGACGACGACGACGACGACGACGACCCACACCGATGAGGACGACGACGGCGGACGGGCCGCGACAGCTGCTGTGGGAGTTCCAAACCTGCCAGGCCAACTGCCCATGAGGGCCAAACTTGCCCGAGCCAAGAGTGGCCAAGGACCGGGGCGCCGAAAGCATCGAACAACTCATGACACACGCTTCCCTCAGGAACCCCTCTCCTTTGGGGTCGGACGAAGGGGGGGTAGCACAGAGGGGGGTTTGCAGACCAATTTACGTAGCGGATCTTCGACGGCGCCTCCGAACGCCGGAGGCGCCCGCGAATCGAGGAAAGCGTTCGGCGGCTGGGCCGAAATGAGCTGCGTGCAGCGGATTTGGTACCCCCCCTGTTCTTCATCGCTCGCGTAGCCTCGTCTTTATCAGGAACAGGAGATGTGTAGTGTCCGAAACTGTCCCCGAGATATTTGCCCGAGTGGCCGAAACCGGCACCCGACTTTTTTTCGGGCGCGCCCGAATATGATCGAAGTGTGTGGATCGCACTCGGTCACGCTATGTTATCGGAAGCAATAGCGGGCTCGTTGCCGGTCATATTATGCAATCGCATAACTATGCGACTGGTAGGGGCCAGGCGCCGTGACGTCCCCCCTTTCATCCGACCCCATCCCTCATGGGCGACCCGAGTAGACGGGGTCGAAGGCTCGCGCCACATCGCTGATGCATCGGCGACGTCGGCGACTCGTGGGTGACGTCGGCGTGAAGCATATCGGGCTCCACATCGAGCCGCATTGCCCATCCCTCGGCGTTGCGGCGCGATGCTCCGAAACCACCTGCTCTAAACTTAGGTCGGGCATGTCCTCCAACATAACAAATCGCAAAATAATGATCAAAACTAATCAAAGATAGTAGAAATATCGTCCCCAAACCACGTTTGACTATTTTTGAGAGAGCGTGGTCCACCGCCGCTTTACTGTGGAAAATTGCCAGCGTTTTCCTCCAGAACCCAGGGGTCGCCCCCCCCCCCCCCCCTCCGAAAATCCCCCCCCCCTGCTGGACCCCCCCCCCCCTTCCCCCGGGCAAAACCCCCCCCTCCCCAACCCCTCCCCCCCCCCTCCCCCTCGAAAACCGGGGGGGGTCACTACCGGTTCGAACCCCTCCACCCCCCCCCCTCCGGATCTCGAAAACCGGGGGGGGTCACTACCGGTTCGAACCCCCCCCCCCCCTCGAAAACCGGAGGGAGGGTCACTACCGGTTCGACCCCCCCCCCCCACACGCACCGCCAGCAAACGACTCCCGGTCCCCTACCACCGTCCGCATCACATCCCCCACTGTTGTTCCCAGCACCACTGTCCTCACCACCACTGTCCCCACTGGTTCCACCACCGTCCCTACTGTCCCCACCAGTGCCCCCACCACTGTCGCACTGTCCCCACTGTTCCCACCACTGTTCCCACCACGGTTCCACTCTCCCCACTGTCTCCACGGACCCAACCACTGCCCGACTATCCCCACTGTCCCCACTGTCCCACTGACTCCTCCGCTGTCCCACTGAGCTGTCCCACTGTTCCCACCACTGTCCCCACTGTCCCCACCACTGTCCCCACTGTACCTCTGTCCCATTGTCCCACCGCCGTCCTCGCCACCGCCTTCACCACTGTCCCCACCACCATTGTACCCTCCACTGTCCCACTGTTTCCACCTCATTCCCATTGTCCCCACACCACTGTCCCCACCACCACCGTCACCACCACTGTCCACTGTCCCCCCCTGTTCCCACCATTGTCCCCACCACTGTCCCCACCACTACCGTCCCCACCACTGTCCCACTGTCCCACTGTCCCCACCACTGTCCCGCTGTCCCCTCACCACTGTCCCCACCAACACCGTCCCCACCACTGTCCGCACCCCCACTCGGTTTTCGAGGGGGGGGGGGGGTTCGAACCAGTAGTGACCCCCCCCGGTTTTCGAGGGGGGGGGGGGTTTTCGAACCGGTAGTGACCCCCCCTTTTCATGATGAGCTGGGGGGGGGGAGCTGGGGGGGGGGGGAGGGGTTCGAACCGGTAGTGACCCCCCCCCGGTTTTCCGGAGGGGGGGGGGGGAGGGGGGGAGGGGTTCGAACCGGTAGTGACCCCGCCTGGTTTTCCGCCAGCAGCGGTAGAACACGCTCTTTCCTATTTTTGGACACTCCCGCTGCAGAGGGACAGGCTCGACTGAACTCCAAAAATCCGACCCGCGAGGCCCAGAAGCCCCGCCCTGGGGCGCGCGAGCGAGCGCTCTGCCACCGCTCCGCGCGCTCGCGGGGAGCGCCTTCTACGGAGGGTGACCGAAAGGCCGCGCGGCAGCTTCGTGGCGTGCCGACTTGGGCGCTGGTGCCCGCCCGACACCGCGGGGATCATCCAGCCTCGAGCGATCGGCTGCTTCCGAAACCTCAGATCGTTCGACCTTGGCCAATCCTGCGTCGCCGGCGGCGTTGCACGTGGAAGGCCAGCGGCGGGGTCGGCACCGGTCGGCAGGACGCGAACCTGCCGTGGCTCCTCGGAGGTTGTCAGTCCCCGTGCTCTTGGCCCGCGGGGTCGTCTCCTGGCCCCGTGGGCTTGGTCGCCTCCGCGTGTCCAGGCTGTCGCTGGTTACCTTTTGTGCCCCCTCTTCCCCTCCTTTCGCTTCCTGTGGCCTTTCAGAGAGGGGGGGGAGCGGGGCCTGAGGGCAGCGAGTCCTGGACCCCGAGGCCTTCTCCCAGGAAGAGATCTCCATCCTGAACTGTCTTCTGACGGTCCAAGGGCCCTTGGGGGGCCCCCAGAGCCCGGAAATGGCGAAAAATATCAGGACCCGCTTCCCCCAGGACCCGCTTCCCCCATGGCGAAGTGCCCTTCCCCACGGGAGGAGAAGGAGGAGGAGGAGGAGGAGGAGGAGGAGGAGGAGGAGCAGAAGCAGGAGCAGGAGGAGGAACAGGAGCAGGAGCAGGAGCAGGAGCAGGAGCAGGAGGAGAGGGAGGAGGAGGAGGAGGAGGAGGAGGAGAGGGAGGAGGAGGAGGAGGAGGAGGGAGGAGGACGAGGAGGAGGAGAGGAGGAGGAGGAGGAGGAGGAGGAGGAGGAGGAGGGGGTGGAGGAGCAGGAGGAGCAGGAGGAGCAGGAGGAGGAGGAGGAGCAGGTGGAGGAGTGATGAGCGAGGAGGAGCGAGGAGGAGGAGTGAGCTCTGCCGACCCTGCCGACCAGGACCGCCAGAGCCCCCCCTCGAGCCCGCACTCGGCGGGGCACGGCGCAGCCCCGGCCCCCGCGCGGCGGGGCGCGGCCCCCGCGGCCTCGACCACGTGCCGCGGCAGGGGAGGGCCCTCGCGCTCGGACTCGGAGCTGCTCTCGGGCCCCGGCCGCTTGCCCCGCAGCGCCTCGCGGCGGCTCCCGCGCCGCGGGCACGGCGCAGGTCATCGGCCCCGAGTCATGCAAAGAGAACGGGGCCCAGGGGCACACAAACAAAGAGACACATGTCCCAAGATTCCCCATCTTTCCTGCTGTGTTCTGGGTTCCCGTTTTCCCCCCCACTCCCCATGTTTCCCACCTTTTTTTCCTGGGAATCGACCATCATGTGTGTCTGTGTTTTCTCCTCCCTCCTGAGCAACGCAGGACTGCCCATGCTGGACATGTGTCCCACCAGGCCTTGAGGGCGTGAGAGGTGTAGAGAGCTTCTTCTTCTTCCAACCCCCCTTCTTCCCCGTCGGGGATGGGTGTAAGCACTGTTCCCTATTCGTAGACACCCCCTTCCCAGGCGACCAGAAGGTAACCAGGACCAGTGACGGCCACGCCCACCATCCATGCCAAAAGAACAATGCAAAATTAACTTCCAGCCAAAATCTTGGGTCATGATCGGGGGGCACGAACAGTTTATTTTGTTTTGTTTGACCGGGGGCGGGGGGGGGCGCATATTGCCTGATGCGCGCAGAGCCAACATCCCGATCAACAAACACTACGACACGGACCTCGAGACAACGTCTGGATCATGCGCGGACACTCCGCGATCCCTGTGCATTGGCTTTTGACTGGGACGGTGGGGGTGCTGGCATCTTGCCTGCTATGTGCAGGCCCACCGGACGCTATGATGGCCACCCCTTCGCAATTCCCACCGGCTTTCGACAAGGGTGTTGGGGGCCGATACGTTGCCAGGAGAGCCCAGAATCGAATCGATGAATCGGGTCGGCGATCGAAATTAATCGGATAGGCGGAAATCGGCAGCCGAGTCGAGGAAAATTGAATCGGCGGAAATCGGCAGGCTAGAAGCCTTCCGTTGAGAATCGGAGCCGGAATCGGAATCCAAAGTCGAATCGAAACGGAGTCGGAAACCATCGACCTTGAATCGAATCTGGTCGGAGGAATCGAAAAGAGCCCTGCGGTGCCCGCTGTGTACCGCCACGTGCGCAGGCGCACCCGGCACACTCTGCGCGCGCCCCGAGCGGGGCGCACCTTGCGCGGCGGGCCCCCCTCCCTCCCTCCTCCTCCTCCTCCTCCTCCATCTCCTCCTGCTCTTCCGATTGGTCCTCCATCCTCCCCCTCTCGGGGCACGACGTCTTGTCCAGCCTTTATTCCACTGCGTGCGCCTCCGCATCCACGATCAGGGGAACTCGTCTGAGCATCGTTTCTGGATGGGCTGGCGAGGCTACGCGAAGCGTCCAGAACTGACAACTCTTTGTCGCTACACAGTTCATTCTGAGCCACGTCCACATCGCAGAGCGGGGGGGGGCGGCTGGGAAAGGGCATGCCCCTCCTGGACAAAAACCATGCCCCGGCGTGTGGCCGCCGCGATCGCCGCGGCGACTTCCGAAACCGACCTGGGGGTGTGTTCGGAGCGGGATGTCCCACACTGTCCAGAGGTGGCCCTGGCCCACAATGCGAGACGGGGATTCATTTACGACCGCCGCCGGGGGGATCGTTGTGTAGGGATCTCGGTAGGCGGTGGATATGGTATTTGGGCATGGATGCACCCCCCCTCGCCACGAGATGGCCTGGGCTCCTCGAGCCCTCCTGGACCCCCCGGGCCCTCTGGGCCTCGTGAGAACTTCTGGCGACCCCTGCACGAGGGGGACTGACGCACCCGTTGAGTGATTTGTTCAGCTCCACTGTTGCTACTAGATTTCGGAAGCCAGGGGCCGTCTTCGGGCCCCATGCCCGCTGAACACGATCCGCAGGAGGCCAGGGGATGTAACTGCAATGCGGACGCCGATTCGCCTCCCGCGGTGTCCCCAAATTGGGCCTGACGGGAAGCCCCTCGACGTCACGGCTGGACTCGACTCGGGATCATGGTCACGACGCACCTGGCAGAGACCAGGCCTGGGGAGTAGAATCGAATTCGATTGGAGAGGGCACGCAGGATGACACGAGACCCTTCCGGGGGCCACATTGCCAGATTCACACACAAAAGGCATGGGCCGCTAAACGTTGGACGCCCGAAATGGGTATGGAACAGATAATACAATGCCCAACAACACATAATGTCACAAACCAACAGCGGCCGCTGTTAAACAAACAACCTTCTCTCAAATAAACACAAGCCGCGGCGGCGCGGACAGCGAGTCCTGTTCAAAATAAGCAGGACTCGCTGTCCGCGCCGCCGCGGCTCGTGTTTATCTGAGAGAAGGTTGTTTGTTTGACAGCGGCCGCTGTTGGCTTGTGGCATTATTTGTTGCTGGGCATTGTACCCATTCTTTCCGCACCCAGTTCGTTCGTGCAGATAAACACCGGACATGCTGGTACCCTTGACTTGCCAGCATCGACCTACACCCTGCGAAATGCTTAAGAAGTCATGGGTTAAGAAATTCATAGTCTCAGAACTTGAACAAAAACCCAACATTTCGATCAAAATCTTAGGATCTACATTGAAACGTTAAGAATAATCGAGACCCTGGCCGAAAACTTAGGTTTTCTTATGCATCGCCCAAGGTGTACTGATCGAAGTCGAGCGGCGGCATCCGCACCTTGTGCTGCTCTCCTCCACCGTTGCCCGCCGGCCTTCGGGCCTCCGGGGGTCCCTCAGGCGCTCTCCTGCGCCGCCGGACGACTGCGTGCTCCACACGGGGGCCGTGCTCCGACGGCGAGGGAGACGGCAGTGGCACATGAGCGAGTGGACCAGCGACGCGCATGCCATCTGACGGAGGGGCGCACAGGATGGCCCTACCCAGGGAATTCTGCGAGGTGTGCGCGCGACAGCATGCCACCAAGCTGAGGCGCTCTGCTTCCCCTTCGCCTCTTCCGCGTAACTGGTGCCACCGCACACAGAAGAAGAGCCGCTCAGGCGCAACTACTTGGCCTGATGAGGACAGCTAGCTACTCCGCGTGATCGAACTATTCTCGACTCTTGTCAGGATGTCATGCCTGTCGCCATCGCATGGACAATCTCCAGAAGCTCCTGAGTTTGCCCCCTAAGACACTCTTAGCGTGTGAGACGTGCGACCGCCATCCTCCTCTTCCTCCTCCTCCTCCTCCTCCTCCTCCTCCTCCTCCTCCTCCTCCTCTGCGTCTTCCTCCGCCTCCTCCTCCTCGTCCGTTTCTTCGTCCTCGACCTCCTCCTCCTCCTCCTCCTCCTCCTCCTCCTCCTCCTCCTCCTCCTCTCCCTCCTCCTCCTCTTCCCTCCTAATCCTCCAAAGCCACATGTTTCGTTCCGTTTTCCTGGGTGCGGGGAGAGCCCGCGGCGCGGCGGGGCAGAGGGAGGGGGGAGGGCAAGTACCTATCCACACCTTGCCTCTCCTGCTTCCTGCCCCCCCCCCCCTCCTCCTCCCTCCTCCTCCTCCTCTCCCCCCTCCTCCCTCCCCTCCTCCTCCTCCTTCCTCCTCCTCCTCCTCCTCCTCTCCTCCTCCTCCTCCTCTCCTCCTCCTCCTCTCCTCCTCCTCCTCCTTCTCGTCATCCTCTCTCTCTCTCTCTCTCTCTCTCTCTCTTCTTCTTCCTTCTCGTCATCCTCCCCACCCTCTCCTCCTCCTCTTCCTCTTCCTCCTCATCCTCCTCCTTCTCCTCATCCTCCTTCTCCTCCTCGTCATCCTCCCTCTCCTCCTTCTCCTCCTCCTCCTCCTCCTCCTCCTCCTCCTTGTCGTTGAGCCCTCCTCTCCGTTCAGAATGCCTGCCTACATCAAGCACCCTCGAGAGCGCTGACAAGAAAGACGCATAAGCTAGCTCGACGCGACCAGACCTGACTGGACGACAACATGAAGCGCCACTTCCTCAGGAATGCGCGCACGTGCGCAGCGGCGCAGGTGTGCGGTAGCCAAAACGGTATGGCAGCACAAGCGGTGCGACCGTTTGGCCATCCCAATGGAGTGGGGACCTCCTTAAAGGAGGATGAGGGAGGTGGAGGAGGGAATATTACAGAAAATAACAAAGCAGCGTAACAATGAGCTTTCGGAGATCCCCTCGGATTTTATGGATCGGCGCTGCAATAATGAGCCCGCCGGTGCAATGCCGATGCTGGGGTCGCATCCCAAGAAACGATGCTGAGCCCATGCCGATCTTGGCCATCTTGGACAGCGCCAGTCCAGGGATCAATCTCGCGACTCGGCGACCTCTGGCAGTGGACATGACCCATGACCAATTACACCAAAGAAACACCCCAATCAATGGATGAATTGTTGAATCGTGGGATCGATGAAAATGTCGATAAGGAGATCGTCCGGGAACCCAGAAACCCGGAAACCCGGAACCCACCGAAATCGGCCCAGAACCAATGACCATCGGGAGCGGCCAAGAGGGGGGTGTCCAAGAGGGGGGGGTGCAAATCATGACCGGCGGCATGTGCGCGGCCCAGCGGGGGGGCCAGGGACGTAATGAAATAAGAAGAGGCGCCATGAAATCTGGGGAATATCATGGCCCACGCCATGATATCCCCCCCTAGCCATCACCCCTTCTTTGCCGGCTCCGAACTAATAATTAACCAGGAACCCGGGAACCCGAACCCGGAACCCGGAACCCGGGAACCCAGCCGGCCGCCAACGTCGGCGAGATGAGGCCTGCGCCCACCGCCGGCAGGCCCGCAAGAGAGGAAGGGGACGTCGCCCTCGGGGAAAGTCGGGAAAGTCCTCCTCCTCCTCCTCCCCCTCTTCCTCCTCCTCCTCCTCCTCCTCCTCCTCCTCCTCCTCCTCCTCCTCCTCCTCCTCCTCCTCCTCACGTCCTTCACGGCACGTGCTCAGGGCGGCATGTGCAAGTGCACTCTCGCCCCAAGAAGCCTCTACGAGGCCTCCTGCGCGATGGCTGGACGGATCGAAGGCCGCTAGATACCTGTTTCGTTAGCTTGTCGTCTCAGGATGGTTCCAAGAGAGGCTCCAAACGAGCACGACGAGGGCGTCAGTGCTGCCCAGGAGGGCCTCTCGAGTTGTCCAGGACGGCTCAAGGGATCACGACGGCCCCAAGATGCCCTCAACGCGAACGAGAAGAGCCCCAAGATGGCTCCAGAGAGCCCCAACACACACACACACACACACACACACACACACACACACACACACACACGCACACACACACACACACACACACACACACACACACACGCACACACACACACACACACACACACACCACTCGCCCAAGGTCGGCCCAACGGGGCTTCGAGAGGTCTCCAAGACGGCCAACGAGGCCCAGCGAACAGCACAAGATGCTGCCCCAAGCGCCGCCCAGGATGATCCCGACTTGGGCGACACTGGCCTGCACGAAGAAGGTCCTGATGAATCGCGGCCCTGTGTCCCCGGCCTCGGACTGGCCAGCGCTCGGACGTCCATTCCCCGTGTTTTCGTTCGGTGTCGCGCGTGGTTTTTGCTCGCAGGATGGTCCAGGATGCTCCTCGATACTCCCCGCCGAGAACAAGTGCACGCGTCCGAGCGAGACCAAGTGAACTGGGGACCGATTTCCCCGAGCTGGTTTCTGATGGCCCCGGGGCCCGGAGAGGGCACTGGGAGGCCGCAGACGAAGCACATCCCCCCAAGACCTGTTTCCATCAAGACCCAGCTCCTCCACGGTAGAGGGCAGGTTTTAATACATGGGATGTTTAATAGATTGGATTGTTAATACATGATTAGTTTACTAATAAATCAATGCATAATTTCATCATTGCTTTTAATACTAAATCCCTTTATTTGTAATATATGATCCGCACGCGGAGCATGTATTAAAACCGGCGCGGTAGTCCACAAGCCGGGATAAGGTGACAATTATTTTTTTTTGTTGGCCCCCCCTCCGTCGCGGGAGCGCTCGATGAGTGAACCCCTCTGTCACGGAAGGGCCGAGCTCCCGCTGCGACTGGAGCCGGCAGAAGGGGAGAGAGCCGCGATGGAGAGAGGGAGATCGGGGAGGGAAAAGGGGAACGCTCGTGCTCTCAGAAAGATGTCGCGCTCCCCTCAAGACCCCCTCCTTGAGTGTCGTTCAACCGACCCCTATCCGTGGCGGCGTGGCCTGGGCCCCACTGGCCGATTGACCCCCCTTATAGATAGGGCATACAGGTCGTTCCCGTCGGGTCTCGAGGGGTGTATCCCCAACTGGGGTGGTCACTTGGCCGGGTCTCGACGTGGATGGGGACGGGGATCGGGGATCGGCGAAACGATGCCGAGCTTCGGTGCCCATGCCACCACGCACAGCCGCAGGCTCGTGCGGCCGCCGTGGCGCTTGACGATGCCCCTAAAAGGCGCTCCTCAGTTGGGAAAACAAAAAATGGCACAGCCATAAAAAACTCGGAGGTCCGCGCGGACTTCTCGGATCGGCGCTGGGGCCCCCCGGCGCCGCCTCCGGCGCCGCGGGTCCAGCGCCGATCCGAGAAATCCGCGCGGGCCTCCGAGTCTTTATGTCTATGTCACTTTTTGCGCTCCCCTACCACTATAGCTCCTTCCTCCGTGGCGATCCGCACCCCTCGGCGCGACCGCCGGCGGCCGTGCCTCGCCGGGAGCGCGTCCGCAAGCACGAAATCGCGCGCGCGCCACGAGGCGCGGGCGCGCGCGAGGCGCAGGGAGTCCGCGGCGTCGGGCCCCCGCGGGGGGGGGGCCACGGCAGGCAGGCGCCGTGCGCCGAGAGCAGCGCGAGCCTCATACGTTGAAGTCGGGCGTGTCCCCCCCTACAGGGGGATCTTCGACGAGAAATAAAACATACTGAAAACAGACCCCCAAATGGTCAAAAACTACTCACGAAAGAAGTCCCCATACTATTGTTTGGCTATGTTTAAATATTCCTCCTGTACAGGGACGGGCCCGACTTCACCTTATGTTGCTCCCATCGCACTTGAGGACCACACCCCAGAAATTATCAGGGGAACAAAAAATGGCATAAACATACAAACTCGGAGGCCCGCGCGAATTTCTCGGATCGGCGCTGGGGCCCCCCTCCCTGGCGCGCGGAGCGCGCCAGGGGCGGCGCCGGATGCGCCGCTGGGGGGCCCAGCGCCGATCCGATAAATTCGCGCGGGCCTCCGAGTTTTTATGTTTATGTCACTTGCTGTTACCCTAACAATTTCGAACACCCAGAGAAGTGTCGGAAGAGTGTCGGAACAGTGTTGGACGAGCGTCTCCCAGGGCCCGACACGTGAAAACCCTCCAGTTTCCACACTTCTTTGGCGCTCGAAGTTCTTTCTGGTGATCAAAGCCAGAAGTAGGTTGGAACATCATAACGCGAGCTTGGTTAGGTTTCAGTCGGGCAGGTCCCTCCACAGGAGGAACATTCAAGAATAATCAAAACATAGCCTGGTGACGATGTTTCGACTTTATTTGACCATGTTCGAAGATCTTTCGACTACTTTCGATTTCTCGTCCACATTCCGCCTGTAGGGGGACATGCCCGACCGAAAGTTAGGTCGGGCCTGTCTTCCTACAGGCGGGTGTTGGGCGAAACGTAGAACATGGACAGAACTGCTCAAGCAAAATCAAGTCCCAAGACTGTTCTTTGATTATTCGGCGGTGGACAAACCTCTCTTTAGTAAACCTCCCCTTAATGAAAACAGCCTGGGACCGAAACCGACGGGCCTGGACCCGCAAAAATGACGGCCGCGACGCCCTCTCGCGAACCGAAAACGGCCAATTCCTTAATCGACGTGTCAGGGTAGGAGGTCTATCCACCTCCGAATTATTTTTGAGACTCCCTCCTGTAGAGGGACATGCCCGACTGAAGCCTGGTGAGCAGAGGGGGCGCCCTGCACGGACCCGCAGCCATTGCGACCCAGGGCGGTGCGAGTGTTTCCCCTCCCCACTTCCAGTGGGAGGTCGGGCGTGTCCCCCTACAGGCGGATATATTGAACGAAAACTAGAACATACCCCAAACATAATCAAGACAGAAATTATGAAAGTAGCATGAAATCGTCTCCGCTCCATGAAAGATTCCCCCTGTAGAGGGGCAGGCCCGACTTCACACTTCCAATTAGCAGGGGAGGGGGGGGGGCCTCCCCTCTCCTCCTGGGTGCTCGCTCTCCCCGCTCCCTCGCCCTCCCTCCCCCCGCCCTCCCTCCGAGGGAGGGAGAACGAGGGGGGAGGGGGGGAGGCCTGGGGAAGTGGGACGCATAGAGGGGGTGGGCGCGGGGCCCCCTTCCCTCCCTCTTTCTCCCTCCCCCTTCCCCCCCCCCCCCCTCCCCCCTCCCTCCCCCCTCCCTCCCCCTTCCTGCAATGCCGGGGAGAGGGGAAGTGGGGAAAGGAGGAACGAGGGGAGGGAACGGCCACTGGGTAAGGAGGATTGGGGGATGCCAAAAGGAGGGGAAGACACTCCGGAGGACACCCAAGCGGTCGGGAGGACATTCGAGGGGAGGCAACCTGCGACATGAGGACGTCCAGGAAGAGAAGGAGGCAGCCGCAACAGGAGAAACAGGAGCGGAGTCTCCAAGAGGAAGAGGATCTTTCGTGGAGACGCAACGCGCTACTTAAAGGCACCCGGGAAGAACCGAAGATGAGCCGCCAAATGAGGATCTCTTCATGCTACGATGCCAGGGCGCAAATGAGTGGACAGCAACGGCAGCAACCGCATCAGCAGTAACTAACAAGTATGGAGAAGGACAACGTGATGATGCGCAAAAACATCAAACTTGGGCGCATAGAAATGCAACATCACTTCAATCCTCTCACACACACACCAAGATAACACACTTCGGACAACCGTAACACTGGCAAGGACACAGCCTGTCTTCATGTTGCTGTCCCTGTGTCTGCGTTCCACACCCCCTTCTGCAACTCCGTGGCACCATCCACTCGTATTCCTTGTCGAACACGAGTCCAGCCTTCTTGAACTGTTTCCTGAGCTGCATCAGCGACAGTTTCTGATGCCATGTACCTTTCGGCAAGCACTCCGTAACGAGAGGAGGGCTCGAGACCGCGCACAGGGCGGGCGGGGAGGCAGGGTCAGACAAGGGAGGCATTTAGCTTATTAGCCAATAACTTCTTCGCCACTCCTGTCCACAATACGGACTGTCCCCTTCGGCACCGCAAAGGCTGGACAACAGAACATGCTCGCCTTGGTGCCCTGTCGGCGACACGAGGCCTGACACCAGCTGCTGGGCCGTCTCGTCCTGCCTGAAGCATGGACTCCGAATCCACCACCGTGCCCTCCGAGTGCCGTGCCGGGGCACGGATCCCCTGGCCAGGCCTAGAGGAACAAAGAGCTGCATGAACATAATTTCACGGATGTCCAAGCGGATTTCTTGGATCGGCGCTGGACCCAGGCGCCGGAGGCGCCGCCAGGGGGCCCCAGGCGCCGATCCAAGGACTCCGCGCGAACCTCCGAGAAGTTATGATTGTGCAGTGGTCTCTTCTTCGACCCACGCCTCCTCGAAGCCCTCCCCGCCTCTCAGGGCTCGTCCTCCCGCCCACGCTCGCCCCCCCCCGCGGGTTCGCGTCGCGACGACGCGGGTGCTGCACACGTCGTGCCTCCTTCGGCCTGGAACGACCGCCGCTCTCCGACGCCAGAGATCGATCAAGACTGGAGCAGCTCGACCGGGAGCGCCCACGCTGCCGTCGAGGCCACGTCAGCGCGCTGCCATGCGCCAAGCCTCCCCTGGCTCCTCCTCCTCCTCCACCTTTGGTTGGCGGCGAGGTCGGGGGGGGGAAGTGAGGAGGGGCAGGCCTCCTCAGATGGCTCGCAAGTCCCCCAGCCTCCCCAGAAGTCGTATAGGCCTGCCCCGAAGACGCAGACAGCTTCTCAGAGGGCGCGAGGGCTTCTGAGAAGTCCCGCCGCCTTCGGAGAAAACCTTCTCTTTCTCACTTCCCCCCCTCGCCCGCCGCTGGCTTGGGGGTCCCACAACCGCGCGGTGACGGACCGCGCGGCGACTTCGGCATCCCCAACGACCTCACCGCGCGGTCCGTCACCGCACGGTCTTGGGGACCTCGAAAGCCCCCGTCGCCCGAGACGTCCTCGGAGAGAACCGCCCGAGCCCCCAAAACCGTGCGGTGACCCTGAACCCCCACTGCCTCACCACGCGGTGTGGTCATTACACCGTCTGGGCGCCCCAGCAACTGGACACCGCCCAATTGAGGCCGGGGAAGACGGGGCTGGATGGAGAACTCGGGCTACGGATCTCGGAGAGAGCGTGACCCACCGCCGCTTCATTGTGGAAATTCCCCCCCCCGCCCAGCTGGAACCCCCCCCCCCCCCCCCTTCCCTCGGCAAACCCCCCCCCCCAAAACCCTCCCCCCCCCTCTGGAAAACAGGGGGGGTCACTACTCGGCTATACGCAAGAGTGACCCTGGGTAAGAGTGACCTTCGGTGCGCGACTTTTTGGGGGCCGCGGGGGGACCAAACCTGGGTGCGCAAGTAGCTGCTACTGCTTCGTTTTCAGCCATCTGGGTACCCATCTGTGCCCGCACCAAAGTTCACTCCGGCGAAAGGTTACTCTTACGTCTAGTCGAACTACTGGTTCGACCCCCTCCCCCCCTCCGTAAAACCGCGGGGGGTCACTACCGGTTCGAACCCCCCCCGCTCCCCTCACCGCCCGCAAACGACTCCCAGGTCCCCACCACCGTCCGAACCACACACCCCACCGCTGTCCCCAGCACCACCGTCCCCACCACCACTGTTACCACTTTTCCCACCACCGTCCCTACTGTCCCCACCAGTGCCCCCACCACTGTCGCACTGTCCCCACCACTGTCTCCATGCACCACTGTTCCCATCACGGTCCCACTTTCCCCATTTTCCCCACGGTCCCCACCACTGTCCCAACTGCCCCCACTGTCCCACAGTCCCCGCCGCTGTCCCACTGAGCTGTCCCACTGTTCCCACCACTGTCTGTCCCCACCACTGTCCCCACTGTACTACTGTCCCATTGTCCCACCACCGTCCCCACAACCGCCCTCACCACTGTCTCCACAAGCACCGTCCCCACCACTGTCCCAGTGTCCCCACTGTCCACAGCACTGTCCCACTGTCCCCACCACTGTCGCAGTGTCCCCACTGTTCCCACCATTGTCCCCGCTGTCCCCACCAGTGCCCCCACCAGTGTCTCACTGTCCCCACTGTCCCCACCATTGTCCCACCACGGTCCCACTCTCCTCATTGTCCCACCACTGTCCCACTGTCCCACTGCCCCACCACTGTCCCACTGTCCCATTGTCCCCACTGCTCCCACCACTGTCCCACTGTCCCCAGTGTCCCCACCGCTGTCCCACTGTTCCCACCACTGTCCCCACTGTCCCCACCTATGTCCCACTGTCCCCACTGTTCCCACCACTCTCCCCACTGTACCACTGTCACACCACCGTCCTCACCACCGCCTTCACCACTGTCCCCACCACTACCGTCCCCACCACTGTCCCACTGTCCCCACTGTCCCCACCACTGTACCGCTGCCCCCTCACCACTGTCCCCACCACCACCGTCCCTACAACTGTCCCATTGTCACTACCACTGTCCCACTGTTCCCACACCTGTCCCCACCACCAGTGTCCCAGTGTCCCCACCCCGTCCTCACCACTGTCCCAGTGTCCCCACCAGTGTCCCCACTGTCCTGTCCCGAGGAGCGGGAATCGTTTGCCAGCGGCGAGGGGGGGGGCGGTCGAACCGGCAGTGACCCCCCCCTTTTCATAATGGAAGGGGGGGGAGGGGGTTCGAACCAGTAGTGATCCCCCCCCCGTTTGCGAAGGGGGGGAGGACGGGTTGGGAACCCCCAATGACCTCCCACAGTTTTCCGCCAGCAGCGGTAGAACACACTCTTTCGGATCTCACCACATCGCCAGAGCGCGGTCCATGCGGCGCGATCATCCGACCCCATGTGCTAGGGCCCCGTTATGACGGCATGCTTCCTGTAGTAGCAAGCGCGAGATCAAACCCGCTCAACGAACGAACGGCTCGACTGAACGTCGCCTGACAGAGCAGGCAGCAATGCACCCTCATCCTGTGCCCCTGCAGCCAGCAACGAACCGCTCGTCGTGATGCGACCCTGGCTCTCTTGACATTCAGTCAATCCCTCTCTGCCTCTCGCTCTCTCTCTCCCCCTCCTCTACGCTCTCCCTCTTTCCCAGCTTCTCTCTCTAACTCTTTCCACCTGTCTCCGAGTACCTTCGCGACCCGATGGGTGATCCATAGTCCCCTCGCATCCTCCCAGCCCCCCTCCCCACCACAGACACACAGACACACAGACACGCAGACGACGACGACGACCACGACGACGACGACGACGACGACGACGACGACGACGACGACGACGACGACGACGACGACGACGGACGACGGACGAACGACGGACGACGGACGACGGACGACGGACGACAGCGACGGACGACGGCGACGGCGACGGCGACGGGAGCGGCCGCTGAACGGCGGGCACCCAGCATCCCACACATCTCCAGCAGGAGCTTCTCGTCCTCGTACGCGCTCTCGAGCACCGCCTCGCGCGGGCCCCCCACTCCCTCTGCGGGGCCAGAGAGAGGGCATCGGGCCGAGTGCCTATCTGAGGGGAAGCGTGAGAGGGGGGGACACATCGAGGCCGGAGTCGGCGACACGTCGCCGAGAGATCGGCCAGAGTCCCCCCCCGATAGAGAAGCCGAACGTTCCTGGGCGGCCAAGGATCTTGGGCCCCTATCGGAAATGAATGGAAGATCGGGAGCCGTTGCACTCCCCCTGATGCTGCCCCCCAGCGTTGCCTCCGAGGCCGACACTCGAAAGACGTTACTGCCCCGACCCGAAGGTCCTACATCGGTATCCGAAACAGCCGTGACGCAGTTGGCTCACGCATCTCGGTCGAGTCCTGGCCGGCACGCGCGGCCTTTTGCGCACGGTGGACATTTTGCCCTGAGGACGATTGGATACCATGAGCCCAAAAGGTATATCCGCCACCGTGCCTCTGAGGCCCGAGTCGGAGCGTCCTCACAATACAACAGTTGACGATATCAGACCTGTGATGTATGTGATAGCTTGTTTTGCAGGCACTCTGTGGTGAGCTTTCGCCGGCCTCGCCGGCTCGGCTCGCGCGCGGGGTTGACCCCGGGGGGCCCTGGACGAAAAGTACCCCGGCCGATCCCCCGCTGGTCCCCGGGCGATCCCCAGGGGGGAGGCTATTGTTCGCCTCCCCTCACGAGGATCGTGGCCTCCGAGGGGGGGCTGCAATCGACTACCCCCCCCCCCGCCCCAAGGGGCCCCCAAGAGCCCCCCAAGAGGCCCCAGGGGAGCCCAATACGCCACCAGGGAGCCCCAAGACGCTCCCAAGAAGCCCCCAAGAAGCCCCCGAGACGACCCCAAGAGGCCCCAAATAGTGCTCCAGGGCCGGCGGAATGAGCGAAGCGATTGAATAATCAGCTATGGCACGGCCCTCACTCTTGCCAGCACGCGCGCGCGGGAGCGAAGAGGGGAGGGACATGGAAGATACCTTCTGACTGCGCCGCTCCATTTCGCGGAGCTGGCGTGAGACACGAGAGAAGCCCCTTGCTCAATCCCCTGGAGCCTCAGTCTTCTTTCAGGGGCTCGGAGCTCAAATGGCCAGATCTCATGGGGCCCCCCGCGTGCCCCCTGGAGCCCGGGGCGTCATGTCCCGGGCCCCCGGGCGGGCCAAGATGGCCCCAAGCGGCCCCCCCAGACAGCCCAAGAGGGCCCCGAATCGCCGCACGAGCGGTCCAAGGCACCCAAGATGGCCCCAAGACGGCCCAAGATGCCCCCAAGACGCCCGAAGAGGCCTCCACGAGGCCTCTGGGAAGGATCCCAAGGAGCAAAAGCCATTGTTTTCTGATGGTGTTTGAAGGATTCGCTGTTCTCGCCGTTTCGGCTTCCCGACGCTCCAGGACGGCTCAAGAGGCTGCCGACATCGCCCCAAGGCGACCCAGGAGGCCCACAAGAAGGCCCCAGCGAGGCTCCAGAGGGCCCCTAAACGGCTCAAGAGGCCCCCAAGACGGCTCCAATGGTGGGCCCCGAAGGGGGACCCGAATGGGCATTCTAAGCCATGGGCCCCCAGGAGGCCGCAAGGGGCCTCCAGGAAGCCCTAAGAGGCACCCAAGAGGCCCCCGAGTGGCCCCAAAACTGCCCCGAAGAGGCCCCCGATAGCGCCCCGAAAAGACCCAACGATGCATCCCTGAGGACTCTGACCAACAACCCAAGCAGGGTGGTGGGATGGGCCGAAGGCCATTCGATTCAAAACAGCGTGGCAAAGAATAATAAATGGTTGAACCGCCGAGGATCACCAGGGCTGCGTCTCTCGACATCACGCAAATCATGACAGGCAATAGAAACTCAGACGCTGGCTGGGGGTCACAATACCGAGGCGGGAAGAATCCGCCGACCCTGTCAGCGTGTGGGAGATTCTATTCCGATTGACTCGTCGTCGTCGTCGCCGTCGTCGTCGTCGTCGTTGCCGTCGCCGCTCTTCCCCGTTTCCCCAGGACTTCCTCTTCAACCGCCAGCCACAAGGAGATCGAGGATCGTCGCAGTTCAGCCGAAGGGGAGCCCCTTCCCTCTGACGCCTTCCCCGCCGAGGGGGGTTGCCGAGGGGGGATGGGGAGAGGGTTCTGGGTCAGAATGCTGCCCACCCGGGGGTGGGGGTCCGGGGGTGTCCCCCACGTGGACAAGGGGTAGAAGTAAAAAGCCCTCCCCCATAACAAGGGTAGAAGCAAAAAAACCTCCCCCAGAACAACCACCCCGGCACGCGAAGTCGTCTAGTAAACGCGCCCAGAGAGAAGGAATCAAACAGGGCAAGGCTGTTTAGTAAACTCCCAGGGCTGTTTAGCAAACGCCACTTGTCGGGACCAGGTGGATTTTCCTCCCTTTGAAGGGGGACCGCACCTTCCCCCCTCCTCCCATGACCTCCCCCCCGAGGCACCCTCCTCATCCTCACCTGCTGCTGCGGGGTGCGGCGTCTTTCCCAACATGCATCCAAGAGGCCTCAGATCCGCTCCAAAGCGGCTCCATCCAAGTGAGCTCGGAGTTTCCGAAGAAGAAGTCCACCAACAGGCTCCCGAACAGGGCCCAGGAGGCTCCCCAAGAAGGCCCACGAAGGGCTCCAGAGCGTCAGCGTCGTCGTTAATGTCGCCGCCGCCGCCGTTGTCGTCGTCGTTCTCGTCGTTCTCGTCGGTCTCGTCGTTCTCGTCGTTCTCGTCGGTCTCGTCGTCGCCGTCGTCGTCGTCCTTCAGGGTCGGCGGCACTGGCCGCAAGGCCTTTCAATAAGCGATCTTGCGCCGCCAGGAGTGCTGTATCCCCCCTGAGAGAGGACGGGGTGGCATCCTCCCTTTGTAATCCCGTGGCTCGCATCGAGGAGTAAAGCCCCTTTTCGGCACCAGCTGCGCCGAGATGCACGGGAGCGCCAAGGAACATCTGGGGGAATCGACCCAAGAAGCACTGGCCGAGCCCCTTCTGGATCTTGAGCGGATCTCGATCCAGAGCTGTGGGCTGCAGTGCAGCAAACCCTCTGGGAGCCATCGAGGCCACGGAGAGCGCCTGCCGTTGGCCACGCCGGGGGAGCACCACGAGAGCGGCCCTGCCACGCCGCACGGGGCCCGCGGCCGAAGCGGCAACCGGCGCAGGACGAGCGTGGCATCCACAGGAGGCGGCGATACACCCACGCCGTCCCTGCCCAGGGGCCATCCCTACAGCTGGCCATCGCTCGGACGTCCATTCCCTGTGTTTTTTTTCGTTTCGTGCGTGGTTTTGTCGCCAAGTGGTCAAGGATGCTCCTCAATGGTCCTCGCCAATGGAAAAATGCACACGTCCGAGCGATGCCAAGACAGTCGGACTCGATTGGACAGGACACGCGAGAGGGCACAAGACCCTTCCGAGGGCCGCATCGCCACAGGAGTGTGAGAAGGCAAGTGCTGGGAGGCACAGGACACAAGGGTACCCTTGAGCTGACAGGCTCGACCTACTCATCAGGGCCGACTGCAGGCCCCCGGCATGAGCGCGCGCCCCCCAGGACGGCCCTGACCAGAGACGGTGGCTCCGCAACACAAGTTGCAGCAACGCGAGCCCTGCAGCAGGAGCTCGACCACAAGAAACCTTCCACAAGAAACTCAACCCTGAGACCCGAGGACGTCCGTTGATTCTTGGTGTGGGAACGTCACGCTCGCCACAGCAGGACCATTGAAACCAAAGAAACCGAGGGCACCCTGGAGGCAAGCAAGCAAGCTGCTTCTTGGCACGCGCTTCCACTGTAGACCCCCAACTTTCTGCAAACGCGGGCGAAGACGCCCGGTGCGGCAACACTGCAGCGCCCAGGCGTCTGAGAGTGGATCGGGGCCCGACTCCGCTTCGGAGCATCGTTTATATGACCCCCATCCCCAACGGCGTGGCCTGGGCCCCACTGGCCGACTTACCCTCTCAGATGGGGATATAGGCCGTAACCTTCCGGCTTCGAGGGGTGTATCCCCAACTGGGGGGGTAACTTGGTGGGGGTCTCGAGGGGGATGGGTATGGGCATGGGGATCGGTCAAACGATACCGAGCTTCGGTGCCCAGGCCACCACGCACAGCCGCACGCTCATGCGGCCGCCGTGGCGCTTGACGATGCCCTTAATGGCGCCAAAGGGGCCCGCTCGGGCCACCTGCCGGGCGCGGGAGCGCGGCGGTCGCAGGCAGCGGAGCGAGGCCCCCCGGGTGGGAGGGCTGCGAGGCCGCGCTGCCGCCGGCCGCCGGCGTCGTCGGCGTCGTCGTCGCCGCCGCGGCCGCGCATGTCGTCGTCGGCGTCATCGTCGCCGTCGCCGTCGCCGTCGCCGTGGCCGTGGCCGTCGCCGTCGTGGCCGACGCCACCGTCGTGGCCGCCGCCGTCGCCCTGAGACAGAGGCAAGAAGATGAAGGCTTGGACGTAACGCCTTGTCAAAATGCGAGAAGGAGTGACCGAGGAACAGTCGGAAAGGAATCGAGGAGGCAGCGAAGGTGGAAGGAGGCCGCAGGAAAGAATGAGGAAGCATCTCCAACGCTCTGTTCCAATCGAATATCTAACACAGGAGGGTGGGGACAACTACGTAAAGGTGTTGATGATGATGTAAGCAAGACGACGGAGGAATCGATGATCGTTTCGAGGCGAAATGCATTACCTTAAACATTGCTCTCCACGGACGAACTTCGCGATCGTGCAGGGCCGCGTTCAGAGACGGATGGGTTGGGCATCGTGCAGGGCAATATGCACGTGGAAGCATGGCGCTCACTGACGCGTTGCTCATCCGAGACAGTGTCGGTGTCAGCTTTGATCGGTCTGACGTGTTTGAGATACTGCGCCTGTGTGCCCAAAGGACTATCAATCGCTCTCGGGATCATTCCTCACCCGAAGACTCCCCTCACGCACCGAGGGACTCTGCGGCCCAAGTGTCAAAAAATACCACATGGATCGATGCTCGTTGAGGCACAATATATGACCCAAGACCCCAACCGACTTTCGCTAGGGTCGCAACTCTTTTCATGGCATCGCCATCTGAACCCGCATTGCCCCCCATGGAAACGTGGCATGGCCAATGCCCGCTCACCTCGGCTGGGTAAAAAGAGCATTCCGACACAAACGGGAAAACACATGCAATAGCTCAACGGACCTGGGAAGTGAGAGCATTATGCTCACCCCCGTGCCATTGATGCAACACACGACTAGCTGACGGTCATCCATATTATCCAGAGCGGGTTGAACGCGACGCCAACCGACGTGTTCAGACAATCTGAAACACCTCATGCGCATAGTGCTCCTGCCAGTTGCGCGCAATGCTCAAGAACGACACATTCATGATGCTTCCATGTGCATGCCAACTTGAACATACTTGCGCCGTGCGTGTGCTGCCCTCGATGGGCGACGTGCCCTCTCTTGGCCTGCGACCACATCGCGCCGCACAAAAAATTGCACCCATCCCCAGCGGGTGCGTCCACCACCGCGCGTTCAGCGGTCGGTTCGCCTGGCCTTTCACCTCATCGCACCATGGACTTCGACTGAAAAACTAGCATCATCCTGGCCACCCGAGCGCGTGGAAATGAAGCGCCAAAGCGCATGCCCTAACACAGCTTCTTGGGAGTCCCAGGGGGCATGCGTCTCAGAAGGCCTCGGGTAGGTAGGCCAACGATGCGCCCAAAGAAGGCCCCGAGATGCCCCAAAATGCTAGAGGAACAAAAAAAACGGCATGAACATAAACTTTTGGCGATCCGCGCGGATTTCTTGGATCAAAGCTAGATGCCCCTCCCTGACGTGCGGAGCGCGCCAAGGACGACGCCAGAGGCGCCGGCAGGGCGCTCCAGCGCAGATCCAAGAAATCCGCGCGGAGCGCCACCAGTTTATTGTTTTCGCCATTTTTTCTTCATCGAAAGGTGGCAGGAGGCCCCCCACACAAGACGCCGCCAAGGGGGACCCGATAGGCCCCAGGGCCACCCACCGGCGCAAGAGCTGCGTCGGCCACGGTGCCCCCTGGCACGTCACACACACACACACACACAGGAGGGAATCGGGAGGGGCCACGGAGCCACGCGGAGCCTTGGGATCCTGCGGACTCCCGCGAACCCTCGGGGCTTGCCGCGAGTCTTCTCCCGAAACCTCGGAACCGAGGCTACACATCCACGCATCAAACGATCCCACCCTGAACCTCCGGGTCGACCGGGAGAAGCTCGATCATAAACGACAACACCCTCCTCTCAGCAGCCGCGTCTGTCCACCGGGCATCAACGATTCAACAGGGCGGCCGTCGCCGTATGCGCCCCCAAGATGGCAAGCTCTTTGGCCGTCTCGAGGGCCAGCTCAAGAGGCAAAGATCATCGAAAGCATGTGTCGCCATGTGATGCATTGCGATTCTCGCCTCTTCAGCCTCAAAGAAGTCCAAGAAGCCACAAGAAGCATCCAACAATGCCCCGAGACGACCGCCGAGGTCCCCCAGAGGTGCCTCCCGAGGTGGCCCAAAAGAGGACCCCCCCCATGAAAGAGACCGCGGAGGATCCCAGAAGCATCATTAGGAGCCCGCCCTCCTAACAATTTGCCCCTGCCCTCCCCCAAGACGGCCCACGAGATTCCAAGAGGCCCCCAAGCTCGGGCGGGACAGCAGGAAAAGGATTAGGGGGGTAATACATGGGGAGAGGGGTACAGTGGAGGCCGGTCCACAGGAAACCTTCCACGGGAAACCCAACCCCGAGACCCCAGGCCTTCCACGGATGTTTGGCGTGGGGACGTCACGCCTGCCGCAGCAGAAGCATCGAAGCCCAACAGACCCAGGGCACCCTGGAGGCAAGCGTGGGTGCTTCTTGGCAGGGGCCCCCGCTGTGGGCGAATTGACCCCTCTCACGCAGCCAGAGGAGAGCGTCTGGCGGCGGGGCCCACGTCGGCCGCGGGCAGTCACTCTCGTGATCCTCCCTCGTCTGCCAAGAGGCCGCCCATCTTCGCGCATCGCGCCCCGCTCCCGCGACGCGCGCGTTTATCTCTGACTACCTACCACCCGCGGTGTCCCGTGGTGTCCCGCGGTGTCCCGTGGTGCCCCGTGGTGTCCCGTTGGGTGAGATCGATAGTGAGATCGATGTGGTGCCCCGAGGTGTCCCCAAAAAAGAGATCGATAATGAGATCGGCAGGTGACCCGTGATGTCCCGTGGTGTCCCGTTGAGTGAGATCGGCAATGAGATCGATAGTGAGATCGATAGTGAGACTGGTAGTGAGGTGTCCCGCGGTGTCACGTGGTGTCCCGTTGAGTGAGATCGATCGTGAGATCGACAAATACCCCGTGGTGTCCCGTGGTGTCCAGTTGAGTGAGATCGATAGTGAGATCGATTGGGTCAGATGTTGTTCCCCCCTCTCCCCCCTCACAACCTCCATATCACCCGAATTGTGGTCGCATAGGTGTACATATATATATATATATATATATATATATATATAGATTCATACGCACCTCTCTGAGGGAGTGGAGCTCAGAGGCGATTAATGCATACGCGCCGCGTCGTTCGCGATTTGTCTGGCCGTTTCGCAAGGCCATCCTCGAAATTCTGAAAATCGGTGGCACCCCTCACACAGATCGTGACGTCAGACTCCAAAAACACATCGGAATTTTAACATGTTAACATAAAACCTTCAAAACACAGTGTAATTTCAATGAGATTGACCCCGATTCTCAGAGAATGGCAATTTCGCCTGAGACATCCTCCCAAAATCGAGCCCCAACGTACCTTCTGGTACCCCAGACCCTGCCTCAGCCTCCTGGGAGCCTCCTGGAACCTCCGGGGGCCTCCTGGGGCTTTCTGTACCTTCTGGTACCCCAGACCCCGCCTTGGAGCCTCCTGGGGGTCTCCTGGAACCTCCTGAGGCCTCCTGGGGCCTCCTGCGGCCTCCTGGAGCCTCTTGGGGCCTCCTAGAGCCTTCTGGGATCTCCTGGGGCATCCTGAGGCGGCCTGGGGCCTCCTGGGGCCTCAGAACTACACGCACATACAGAGACATAATTCACACCCAACACATCACACGCTAGACAAACACAACACACACACACAACACCTACAACGCACAGAAGACACGCACAACACAGAGCATACATGACACACACACACACAACACTCACAATCCTGGGGCCTCCTGGAGCCTCGTCCGGTATCCAAGTCGGGCCTCCTGAGGCTTCCTGGGGGGCCCTGGTACACACATCGCAAAGTGTGGCAACCCCACTTGCGCTCGAGTACGACCTCGCTATTGCATTTCACTCCTAGCAGCTATCCTCCTCCTCTTCTCCTCCTCTGGTGAAACAAATCGGCTGGTGGGGATCGTGCTTCCACTTCTCTTGTTAATCGCTTCGCTCACTCCGCCAGCCCATATTGCATCACTTGTATGAGCCTGGGCACACACGTGCCACTTGGCTATACATATATATATATATATATATATATATACACATACATACATACATACATACATACATACATACATACATACATACATACATACATACATACATACATACATATATATATGTATATATGTGTAGAGAGAGACTCTAGTTCGCGCGCGGCGGGCCGCCCCTGCGGGGTCCCTGGACGAAATATACCGCCCCCCCCCCGGAACCCTGGGCAAGGTCCCGGCAAGGTCCCGGCAAGGCCCTGGCAGAATCGGATCCGAGATTGTTTTGCTCCCGGGGGGCCCCAGGAGCGGCCGAAGGAGCTCAAGGCAGCTCCAAAAGGGCCTACGAATCGGAGTCACGGCCCAAGAGCGCTCCAAGACGCCCAAGATGGCCCGAAGACGGCCCTAGAGGCCCCAAAGAAGCCCCGAGAACGATTTAAGACCCCATAGAGGGCGTAAATAACCAATGCTCCTTGTGTTGTTATGTTTTTTCGTGTTCTCGCGTTGTTTGGTTTTCGACGCTCCAAGACGGCCCGAGAGGCCCCCAAGAGGGCTCCAGGACGTTCCAAACAGAGCCCAAAACGGCCCCAGATGCGCTCAAAATTGTCAAGATTGCCCAAGAGGGACCCGAGACGGCCCCGAGCGGGGCCCAAGAGGGAAAACACAAACCACCTATTTGAGCCTTCCGCCCCAAGAGGCTTCCAGGAGGCCCCAAGAGGTCCCCAAGAGAGCCCAGGAGGCCCTGGAGGCCCCTGGAGGCCCCCAAGAGGCCCCAAGCGAGGCCCCAAGAGGCCCGCAAGCGGCCCCCAGAGGCTACGGAAACGCAGGCAAACGCCTGCGATGGCACTATGCGGGCTGGCGGAATGAGCGAATCGATTCAATTAGACACAAATCCCATGAAGCCCAATTGTTTCAAACATTTTCCCGCCGTTCGTCTTCCCCCCACTTCCCATCTTTTCCCATCTTTTCCTGTGGCTCGAAGATGAATTGTCTGTGTTGTTTCCCTCCTGAGAGATCTGTGCTGCTACATTTGACCGTTCGCACTGCGCCCTCAACCTCAGGAACCTTCGGGAGGCAACCTCTGGGAGGCCATTGCAACAACAATTTTGGCTGTCGAGCCCGCCGGCGAATGGCCTTCGAGCCGGATTGAGCCAAGTGAATGAAGCTGCATGTAGCGGGATCGTGCAATTGGGCCAGCTTTCGACCGAGGATATACCAGCGCCAATAGTAAATTCAACCTCTCAGGAATTCCATAATACTCTACCCACGACGGGCTGGTACTGTGCAGGCCGACTCCGCACGAAACGTACCCGAAAAACAACGGACATCGCGTCTCCTGACGAAATGGGGAAAAGAACACCCTCCATTTCTGGCGTTTCGGGCGTGGACTACCCCAGCTCAGTGCACACCTGGCTCAACCAGTTTGTAAACACCATACCGCTGCAATTTCTGGGTGACCTTCCGAACTCGACTCAACCAATATGACCGCCGATATGCAAGGCCACCTCCAAGGCCGCGAATGGCTCCGAAACCTGGCTCAGCCGAAATCCAGCTTTGCAAGATCTGGCGCTACAGTTGAGGCCCAACTGCGCTGAACCCCCTCACCTGCTGGCTGAATATTGGTGGTGGTGCCAAACCAGTCCGCTGCCGCTGGGCGCACCTTGGTCTTGATCCTCCGGAGGTACGCGGCATTGCTCTGCATGACCTGGGAGCAGGAGAGGGAGACAAAACATGGAGGAGGACTCGGAGGAGAATGAGGTGGAGGCGAAGACGGAAGAGGCGGAGGAGGTGGAAAGAGAGAGATGGATAGAAAGAGAGAGGAAGCATACGAGGCAGATGCGGAGAGGAAGGGATGAAGGGGGCGGGCCAGGCGGAAGAGGACAAACGAGGAGGAGCGTATGGCGAGGTAGAGAGCGGCGAAGGAGGAGGGAGAAGGGAGAAGGGAGCAAACGATCGAGGTGGAGAACGCGTGGGAGGAGAGAGGTGTTTGGGGGGGGGGATGGGGATATCAAAGTCAGCAACGCACAGGGGCTACGTCCAAACAGGGGGAGAAGGAAGGGGCAGAGGACGCGGATGAAAGAAGGAAGGCGGAGGGAGGAGGCGGGAGGGGAGAGAGGATGATAAGAAGGCTGAAGGCATGAAACGCTGTGAAAGCAAGAACAGGAGAGAGAGAGAGAGAGAAACAAAAAAAAAGAGAGGAGAAGGATGAGCGCCATTCTTGTGGATGGGAGGCGCCCGGCGAAAGCGGAGCCGTCAGTGGATATCATGCCCTCGAGTCTCCCCGAACAGGGCCGGTCCCATCAGTAGATCTCGAGCCCCTGGTAGCCGATACTCGTTTTGTTGATTTGTTGGTTTGGTCTCTGGGATGGGATCGGGATAAGATCCTGCTCCAGAGGTTCGGAGGAGACGGCGGAGGAGGAATAACGAGCAACGAGGAGGTGAGGCGGGGGGGGTGAAGAGGGGGGGGGGGACGAGGATGAGACGGAGGAGGGAGGAAGATGAGGACCAGCCGTCCCCTCCACGCTGGTGGTCTCTCTTGTTCCTCCTTCGTGAGATGGAACGGTGCGGGGGGGGTGCCGGGTCGGGAGGGGAACGTTGACCTAGAATCGGCGATACATCGCCGATAGATCGGCGATAGGCCCCTGGTTGCAAATACGCACATTCCTGGGCGGGGTGGGCTAGCCGCCCCCATCAGTGATGAGTGGGCGATTGGGGGTCGACGCATCCCCTTCTGATCCTGTCCCCCCCCTGACATTGCCCCTGATTCTCCCCTTGGCGCCAGCCCGGGAGCTTCCCCCCCCCCCGCCTTCCCATGGCATTGGCTGGCCCAGGGCGAGTGCACCGAGGGTCGCCAGACCTCCCCGCAGCCTCGGGCATCGAGGAGGTTAGACTGCTCGCCGCGACGCGTTGCGTCAAGCCTGCGCCTCCTTCATCGAGTGGGAGGGAGGGAGGAGGGAGGACAGGAGAAGAGGGGAGGGGGAGGAGGGAGGAGGAGGAGGAGGAGGAGGAGGAGGAGAAGGAGGGAGGAGGGAGGAGGGAGGAGTGTCGCCCTACAGGCGGATCTTCGACGGACCATCAAACAGAGTCAACAAATACTCAACACATGCCCAAAAATGCTCAAACACCGTCCCCAGGCTAATTTTCTACAATTTTTGAATATTCCCCCTGTAGAGGGACACGCCCGACTCAACACTGAACGGGCCTCGATGGGCCCCCCTCTCAGCTGATTTCCCAGCACCTCTCGGTGCCAGGGAGCGCCAACACATCGAGCAAAGGGTGACCGGCGGCGGGGCCGAAACCAGCCGCAGGCAGCAGACTTTCGCAGCCCCCCTCTCCCGCTCTCCCGCTCCCCTCGTGTTCCCGTCTCTCGCGCGTCGGTTCCCCGTGCCTGTTGCGGATTCGTGAGTGATTCTTGCTGCTTGCCTCGATGATCCAAGATGCTCCTCGATGGCCCCCGCCGAGAAAGAAAGCACACGTCCGAACGATGCCAGGTATTCGTGGGACATTCCCGTCAGACCCCTCAACCTCTTCTGCAAGCCCTGGCCGGCCACGTGAGCTCCGGGAGCTGGGCAGGGACGAGTAGGAAAGGGAGCGGCGGATCATGAGGCCGCCGCGGCGAGCGGAGAGGCATGGGAGAAGCCTGAAAGGAAACCGGAGGGAGGGAGGGAGGAAGGGAGGGAGGGAGGATCGGCTCGGCAGGAGGGAACGTCGAGAAATGCAACGCCGTCAGGGCTCCTCGTGGAGCCACAGGGTGGGGAAAAGTATCAAAAACGGTTGCAGCAGCAGTCCGCCCTGCTTGGCGGAGAATTTCTCGAGATCCCCCCCCTCCCCCTTCGTCTATGACCCCCCCATCCCCAGTAATACGGCGAATGCCCGCGCCGTGCGAAGGGAGGGAGGGAGGGATGAAGGGAGGCGAGGGGCGGGAGGGAAGGAGGCGAGGGAGGGAGAGAGGGAAGCGAGGAGGGAAGGGAGGGAGGCGAAGGAAAGCAGGGAGGGAGGGAGGCGGGGAAGGCCAGGATGGGGCACGCATAATAACTATTGGAGGGGAGGGGGCGGACGGGGGGCGGGGGGGGCGATCGACGGGTGGGGGGAGAAGGAAGGTGCTCTCCTCGGGCCCTGCGAGGCGCCCATGTGGGGCCCCCGAAAGGCCCCTCCTGCGGGCCCTTTCTCGGCAGCCCTCGCGGCCCCCCCCCTTTCGCGCCCCCCCCCCCCCCCCCCCCCCAGCAGGGCGAAGGCCCGAGGAGGCCCGGCAGCGGCGGCACGCCAGACCACCACGGCGTTCTGCGCCGGCGCCAGCTGCCTCAGCAGCAGCATCTGCGGGCCTCGCGTCCGGGCGGCGCGCCCGCGGGCGCGAGGGAGGGCCCGCCAGCGGGAGGAGGGTCGCGAGCGGCGAACATGCTGAGGGGCCCCAGGTCCCTGCGAAAGCGCCCCCTGAGGGCCCGAATGGGGCCCCAAGTGGCTCCGCGAGAGCCCCAGGAGAGACCCAGGATGGCTCCGACAGACCTCCGAGGAAACACTTCCAAGGCGGTTGTGGCACTGCATGCGTCTACACTTCCTTGGTCAAGGCAACTCGCCTCGCGATCCGTTTCTGGATGGGCGGGCGGGGATACTTTTTGGTCTGCGGGCGAGCGAAGCAAGAAGTCGAAAACCGTCCGAACACTAGTCGGGCCGCGACTAAGCAGCAAGAAAAGAGAGGCAAGCGAAGCGAGCGCGCGGGCAGCCACTCAGAAGAAGAGCCAGAAACGAAATTCACAACCCGGTGGCGTGGATATCCCAGTGGCGACCAGCAAGTAAGCGCAGCCAAAATGGCGCGGCGGGGCTACCATAAACACGCAGAGGTCAATCACCCTGTGTGAGTCGGCATAAGGCACCGTCAGAGACAAGCAGGACCGACAGGCACACCTGGACGACGTCCGTGCCGTAGGCGACACAACTGCATCGTGTCAGCGCAAGAGTGAAAAGGCGCAAACTCGTCACAAATAGGACTGCAAACGGCAGTACCTCTTGTTTGTGCAGCAGTGGCACATGTCGAAAGCGAAATCCTTGCAGGAGAAAGCAGCCGACGGGCGCACCGAACACCAGCCAGGAGCACGCCAGGGGCCACCTGACCGCCAATTCCCAATGTGATCCACGCATGGAACTCGTAGCGAGACCCCACTGAAACCTTTCGGTCATCAGTGGAGGCCGACACCAGCCATGAGCAGGCCGGGGGGCCACCTGACCGCCCATCCCCAGTGTGAACTTTGCATGGGATTCAGGCTGTCTGAGCACCAGCAGACAGCGGTATTGGCGGCAACCTCAGCCGCGTTGGATAAACCCGGTGAAACAAACGAGAGGACGGGAGGTGCACGCCAGGCACGGTAGGCACCCCGGTGTGGCAGCTAACCGCTGCAGCACTAGGATGCAGGAGGGGAGGATAGGAAGTGCACGCTGGGCACACGGTGTGAGAGGAGAGGGGGGGAACGGTAGAACATTTACTCAAGCAAATGTTGCTGACTATGCCAATCGTGGCTGTGACATTTCCGACCGCGCTGACTATGCCAACCATGACTGTACCAACCCTGGCTATGCCAACCCTGACTGCGCCAACTAAGCTCCTCCCTGGCGAAGGGCACCACTTCCTCCTGCGACCCGCGACTACCTTCACACCCTTCCCGGTGGAGGCGACTGACCGTCGCAGAGTCTGTAGGAATCCGAGGCGGCTAGGTGTTCCCAGGGGTCGTGTCGCCTGGGTTGTGTTGGACGGTTGGCAAGGTCCTCTCTGTCTTCTCCCTGCCCCGTCTCCCGCGGCTCGCGACCCATTTCGCACTTTTCCCGGTGTAGGTGATAACCATCGCAGAATACCTTGGCATCCGAGGCAACTGGGTATTCCCAGGGGTCGGGTCGGGATACGCGAAGCGTCACGAATCATCCACATCCACGCCCTCTGCATTTCCCAGTGGTGTCCCACCAACTGGGCTAGCTAGGCGGCCATGGTAATTAGAGCACGAGCAGACGTCATAATGCGAACTCCAATCCAAGAAGGGCTCCCGAGCGCCAGCGTCGCCGTCGTCGTCGTCGTGGTCGTCCCCTTCAAGGTCGGGGGCACCGGCCGTACAACGCATTCAGATCTCCACACACACGCCCTTACGGCCTAGAGGGCGCGATCCCGTGGATCCCACGGGCACGCTCCGCGCGGGGCAGCCGCGAGCAAAGACACCCCGCCTCCGCGGGGGGTGGACATGGACACGTGTGCGGCCCCAGAGACGAGCGGCACGGACGCGTCGGCTGTTTGCAACAGTGCGTCCTGTGGGTAAGACCCCGCCGGCCTGAAACAGGCGCCAGAAGCAGCCACGACCTACCCCAGGACAGGGGGGGGAGGGAGGGGGGGTGCGAGGGCCCGCGCCGATGGGCAAAACACGGACTAAGAGCACGATCACATGGACCCCCGTCTCCTCCTCCTCCTCCTCCTCCTCCTCCTCCTCCTCCTCCTCCTCCTCCTCCTCCTCCTCCTGCCCCTCTCGAGCTTATGGTGGTGGTCGTGGAGAGCAGGCCCATCAGGACAGCCGGCGGGCCCGCAAAGACGCCGCAGCAGCCCGCGCGCCTCGCGCCCTCCTCGGGCTCCTGGAGCCCCCCCCCGCCTGCCCGATCGCTCTCTCTCTCTCTCTCTATATATATCGTTTTTTTCTCTCTCTCTCTCTCTCTCTCTCTCTCTCTCTCTTTTTTCTCTCTCTCTCTCTCTCTCTCTCTCTCTCTCTAGAAGGAGGAGGAGGAGAAGGAGGAGGAGGAGGAGGCGAAGGAGGAGGAGGAGGAGGAGGCGGATAAAGAGGAGGAGGAGGAGGAGGAGGAGGAGGAGGAAAAAGAGAAGGAGGAGGAGGAGGAGGAGGATAAAGAGGAGGAGAAGGAGTCTCTCCGCCGCCCTCGAGGCGCTGCGCCCCCGGGGCGCCTCCGAGGGGAAAGCCCTTGGGCAGGTCCATGTGGTCGGCGTCGCGCTCGACGAAGTCGGAGAGGACCTGCATGACCTCGCAGGGCGCGCAGGGGGGGTCCATTCTGGATCTGGCTCCCACGGGCCTCGGGTTCCTGGCGTCCGCTGGCCCGTGGCATCCTGCCCTGGTGACAGCAGCTGGTGGGGTGTCAGGCTGTGGGGGCGGCGCCCTGGCTGGTGCGATCAGCGTCGGTCGCGCTTTGCAGCGCCATCCCACGCGAGCGGGCGCGCGACCCAGCGCGAGCGGGCGCGCGACCCAGCGCGAGCGGGCGCGCGACGAGCGCTGCCCGCCCGTGTCGGAGGCTGGGCCCGCGTGCTCCGCTAGTGCTCTCGTCCGCCACCGTGCTCCCCCTGACAGGCGGAGGCGCGGTCGAACGCCGAGTGCTGCCTGCTGGCGGCGCGCAGAAGGAGGGTATGGGGGAGTGGGGAGGGTTTCTCTTAGAAGGAGGCTGCTTCTCAGAAGGCGCGGGCATTACATCCATGGAGAAGGCCCGCGCCTTCTAAGAAGTAGGGGTGCCTCTAAGAAGCCTTCCCCCCTCCCTCTAACCCCCCTCTGCGCGTGGCCGAGTCTGGTAGGGTGTGCTTTTCTACGGGAGCCCCCACCCCTCTCGAAGAACATCCAGGGGCGTGCACCGCCCTCCTTCTCGAGGCCACGATCCTCGCAGAAAACAACGGACCCGCACTCCCGAGGCCACGATCCCTGGTACAACAGCGATTGATCCGCGCCACAGAGTTTCCAAGAAGGCCGAGGCAAAACCAGGGCCGCCAGCATCACCCAAGGTGCCGCCCAGGCGGCGCAGGATGGCCCCAGCGCGGCCCAGCATAACCTCCAAACGGCCCCAGATGCCTCTAAGAGCTATCAAGAGAACGACAAGAGGACCCCCAACAAGGTCAGACAAGGCCAACCTCAATGTTTGTTCGACAAAGCGTTTCAACGGCAGTCAACCACACGCCGGGATGCGAGCACTACTGGCAACATCTCTCGGCATTTGAGGCCGCAACGACTCCCCAGCGCTGAGAGGCGACTAGTATTCAGCCCAACGCAGCAGCAGTGGAATCTCACGCCAGAGGCGCGAAACTCTTCTGTGTCCTGCTGGGCCGCACGCTGCAGACGTGAGAGCGGGCGCCCGCATGGACGCCCACCACGCGCATGCCATGAGTATAATTTAACCGATCCCCATCCCCAGCGGCGCGGCCTGGGCCCCACTGGCCGATTTACCCCCCCTAGATGGGGATAGGTCGTTCCCTTCGGGTTTCGAGGGGTGTATCCCCAACTGGGGTGGTACTTTGGTGGGGGTCTCGAAGGGGTGGGGATGGGGATTGGTCAAACGATACCGAGCTATAAAGCTTGTGAAATTCGCCATGAATCTCGGAGAAAACCATGCGCGCACCCAAGGAGGATGGAGGGACAAACGCCCGAGACCTAACCCAGCCATTCACCAGGCTCATCCGTCGCGCTCGGCACACTCAGGGGGGAGGGGAAGCTTCGCCGAAACATGCTCGCAGCGCTTCTGTACAAGCAGCTGCTCAGCATGTCTTCCAGCCCACACTCGCTTCGGGTTCGCCAAATGTCTTGTCAAACTGTTCGACATCCATGAAGCCGTCGCTCAATGGGCAAGCCCAGCGGATGCTTGCTCTCCATCGAATGCACGGCGAAACACGTCCTCGTCGTAAGCGAACGTAACGAGAATGTCAACCGCAACTTCGCGCATGCCCTGAATAGTGGCAGCCGCGACCTCGACTTTCTCCACGGCAGGATGGCAATACACACCACCACTGACAAGACACCATCTTACCTCTTCGATGGGATCATCAACAGCCCAATCACGGTTGTATGTGCCCACTACATCGAGCGCTCGCTTCGCCAGCCCCCGGATGCCAGCCAAGAAGCGCTCTTTGTTCAACAAGGGGCCGTGCTTAGGACCCCAGCACCCTTCTCCCTTAACCCCCACCGTGTACAACATTCCCACATTCTTCTCTGCAAACGGCCTCTTGTTTGTGGGAAAGACATGAAGAAAGACTGCACCAGAAGCGGACTCATGACCGGGAAGATCTTGATCAGAAGCTTCTCCAGCCATTGCACAAACAATGGATTGTTGCAAGCTTTGCACATGCTTCTTTACAGCAGGGATGCGCGGACTTGCTACAAAGGTGCTGCCAGAGTTGCGGCTGGCTGCCAACAACTCGCGATGAAGCTGCGTATAATGCACGAGCTCCCAACGATTCCAAATCTTCGTGTCGTAGTCAATATTATGTTCCTCATGTAGGAGCTGTGCAAATGCGCCGTTGATTTGATGACCACCAACATACAGGCGGTAATCACCAGCATTGACTGCAACAGTGCTTCGAACAGGAGTCTTGTGGTAAAGGGGTGAATGTTCACCTGGCCGCTCTGCCTCGAAATTGAACCTGGCACCTGCAGAGTGGGGTTCGGAAACTTCAGCCGATGCATGGCCATGCTGCGGACCAGATCCAGAGCACGCGAGGGTGCCCACAACGGCTGCCTCAATTGTATCATGCCCATCGCCGGCGAGAGCTTGGCGAGATCTCTGGGACATGATGTCTCAGGGGAGGGCCTCAGCCGTCTTGAGCCAAGCGAGCTTGAGCCAAGCGAGTTTGAGTCAACACGGCTACGGAACAAGGCCAACATCATTGATACTCACTTGCTGTTTGGAAAATATACTCGCATTGTCGCCTGTTCGGGCTTCCGTCGCTCAAGACGGCCCGAGAGGCTTCCCAACACGGCTTCAGAGAACCCCTTAGTGGCCCACGAGGCCTCCAAGACGGCCCAAGAGGGCCTCTGGAGAGACCCGAGACGGCCGTAGAAGGCCACTCGAATACGGCTCCACGATGGCCCCACGAAGACGCCACGACACCCCCTGTACGGCCCAAGATAGCAAGGCTCACGGATTGAACTTTTTGACTTCAGGCTACACAAACCTATTGGGTGTTTAAGACCCCTGTGAAAGAACAAATTGCCACAGCAGCGAGATGATCTAGAATGCTGCGCTTAATGTCCCACGAGCACTGTGACGCCAAGAAAAACGCACACGTCCGAGCGATGTCAAAACAACCATCGAAATGAACACATTGCGTTGGGCGGTTGAATTCAGCGACCTGCGGTCTTCAATCCTTAGAAGAAGACGAAGAAGCATGAAAAGAAAAAGAAGAACCGCTATAAACATACACTGTTGGCGCTCCGCGCGGATTTCTTGAATACGCGCTGGACCCCCTGCCTGGCGCGCGGAGCGCGCAAGGGGCGGCGCCAGAGGCGCGCGGATCGCCAACGAGTTTATGGTTATGAAGTATTTTCTTCTTCGAGTCCTGGCTGCCCGAATCTGCCCTCCCAATCGCGACCCCCCCCGAGCCGAGACCGCAGTGGAGCCCAACGAGAGGTCCGAAGAAAGAGGCCCGAAGGAGGAGGCCTCACAAGAGGCCCGAAGGAGGAGGCTGCCTTCAAGAGGCCCGAAGAAGGGAGCCTCCAAGTGGCGTTGCACCGGCCTTGCAGACGTGCTGCAGCGGATTCTTGCATGGACTTCTGCGTGGATTTTTTCCCGAAGCGGCGAGCCAAAAACGAGGTGCATTTCGCGTGCATTTGTTTTGGTTTTCGCTCCTGGTGGACAAAAAAAACGCGCAAAATGCACCTCGAAGTCCGGAACGACACTCTCCAGGACAGTGTGGGCCCACCCTGTCGCTGTCCGCACGCACTCCGCTCTGCGAGGTTGGCGCCGTGGCGTGTGGCCCCCGACAGCGGCTCGCCCGCTGCTGGCGAAGGCCGGCTGCGGCGCCTTCCGCGGGGCAGGCCACCGCCTCCACCGTGCCGCGCGCGTCCCCGGGCTGGCCCAGTCGGCCCAGTCGGCCCAGCGGGCCGAGGCCCTGGCAGGTCTCCACCCAGAGGAGGCGGAGGAGGAGGGAGGAGGAGCGAGGCGGAGGAGGAGGGAGGAGGAGGAGGAGGAGGAGGAGGAGGAGGCGGAGGAGGCGGAGGAGGAGGAGGAGGAGGAGCAGTGTAAACCCAAGAGTCATCAACGATGTTGGAATTCACCCTCCCTCCAAGCTCCCTCTTCATAGGCCCCATACAACGGTTCATTTCCATTAGGGAACTGCCTCCATGGAAGACAGCCGTTTGAAGATCCTGAAGCATGCCGAGAAATGGCTCTCGGGATTGCAACGCCACGTAACAACCTGACTGTTGCGTTTTGGCGAACCGGACTCGTCCCATAAAGCAGTGTTTGGGGTTTCAACACCGCGTATCAACATAACTGTTGCACCCGCATAATCCTGAATCCTTCCAAAACGCCATTCTTGGAACGGTGATCATGGGAATCCGTGAAGCCCTTGCAAATGTTTGAAGCGAATGTGCGCGGCCCTAAGACGAGACCCACATTTTAAAACGACCTTCCCTGAGGCCTCAATCCGTGAAACGCTCGCACATGACTAAAACGAATGTGCGAGGCGCTGAGACGAGAGCTACATATTGAAAACCACCCGCCCTCAATCCGTGAAGTTCTTGCAAATGTTTAAAACGAATGTGCGCGGCGCTAAAGCGAGAGCCACATATTGAAAACCACCCGCCTTGAATACGTGAAACCCTTGCAAATGTTTGAAACGAATGTGCGCGGCGCTCAGGCAAGACCCACATTTTGAAAACGACCCGCCCTGAATCCGTGAAGCTCTTGCAAATGTTTGCAACGAATGTGCACGGCGTTAAGGCGAGAGCCACACATTGAAAACGACCCACCCTCAATCCGTGAAGCTCTTGCAAAAGAGTAAAAAGAATGTGCACGGCGCTAAGGCGAGAGCAACATATTGAAAACGACCCACCCTCAATCCGTGAAGCTCTTGCAAAAGAGTAAACATAATGTGCGCGGCTCCAGGGCGAGAGCCACATTTTGAAAACCACCCGCCCTCCATCCGTGAAGCTTTTGTCACTTCTTAAGTTTCAGAATCATAAGCGGTGAGGAAGTCTCTGGCGAAACGCCCAACCCGCCCTAAAAACTGGCCTCGGGGTGCGACAGGGAGGAGTTATCTATAAGGAAAAGGAATGGAGGAGGAGGGGGAGGAGGAGGAGGAGAAGGAGGAGGAGGAGGAGGAGGGGGAGGAGGAGGAGGAGGAGGAGGGGGAGGGCCTGGCCCTGGCGGGCCGAGGCCCTGGCAGGCCCCCGCCGAGCCCCGTGCCCACGCGTTCGTCGACAACCCGACGGCAGCAGAAGGCCTCGGCCTCCTCCATGGCCACACACCCCCTCTCGAGGGTGCCCCCGCGGACTTTGAGCCCAGATCCACCGGGTCCTCCCGGCCGAGCCGGACTCATACCGAGCCGACACAGGTTGCCGGCCACCTGGGAGACGGAGGCGTCGACCAGGGGCCAATCTCAAACACCGCCGAACACTTCAACAAAAATGACCGACAAACTGGCCACGCTGCCCGTCCTCCAGCACGCGCTCGCTCAGGAGGCAGTCGCGCACGCCAAGCACCCGATTTCACGGGCCCCCCTCGCAGCTCCGGGCCCCGCCCTTCGCCGTGGCCAGCACCTGTCTGGGCGAGCGCCCGCGGCCCCCCGACCCTCCCAGGAGCCCAGCGGGGCCCACGGCCGCCCCCCCGCCCCCAGCCGGGTGGCGGAGCTGCCCCCGTCCGCCCGTGCCCATCAGGGAGGGCCCTCCCCCCCTCTCTGCGGCCGCTTCGCCCCCCTCTCTCTGGGCCCCTGCGGCTCGCGCACCGCGCGCCGCCACCGCGCGCCGGCCCCTGCGCCCGCTGCCACCGCTGCAGCCGGTGCGACGGTCGCGTAAGCTGAGGTCGGGCGCGCCCCCTCCTCCAGGCGGATGCTGGGCGAGAAGGATAACATAGCCACGCAAATGCTCAAAAAGAGTCAGACTAGTTAGTTTTTGACAATGATTGAATCTAGGGGAACAAAAAGTGACACAAACATCAAAACTCGGATTTCTCAGATCGGCGCTGGGGCGGCGCCGGAGGAGCCGCCGGGGGGCCCCGGCGCCAGTCCGAGAAATCCGCGCGGACCTCCGAGTTTTTATGTCTATGTCACTCTTTGTTCCCCTCGAATTGTCCTCCTGTGGAGGGACGTGCCCAGCTGGAGCGCAAGCCCCCCGGCGCCGATCCGAGAAATTCGCGCGGACCTCCGAGTTTTTATGTCTATGCCAAATTTTGCTCCCCTAGGGAATCTTCCTCCTGTAGAGGGACGTGCCCAGCTGGAGCGCAGGCCCCCCCGGTAGCGGGCCAGCGCGCTCGCCGCCGCCCTCCGCGAGCGGGCCACGGCGGCACCGCGCTCCCCTGCTCGAGCGCCTCGCGACGCGCCCGGGCCGCGCGGCACGAGGCCGCGGCCACCTGTCCAGTCCCCTTCTTCCTTCCTCCTTCCTCCTCCTCCTCCTCCTCCTCCTCCTCCTCCCCCTCCTCTTCCTCCTCCTCCCTCCTCCCTCCTCCTCCTCCTCTCCTCCTCTCCTCCTCCTCCTCCTCTCCTCCTCCTCCTCCTCCTCCTCCTCCTCTTATTCTTCTTATTCGTATTCTTATTCTTATTATTATTATGATTAGTAGTATTCGTATTCTTATTATTATTATGATTATTATGCTTAGTATTCTTCTTATTAATTTTATTCTTATTATTCTTATTTTTAGTATTCTCATTATTATTCTTCTTCTATTATTATTAGCAGTATCAGAATTATGCTTATTCTTCGTATGATTGATATTAGTCCTACTCGTCTTCGTAATCGTAGTATTATTCGTATTATTCATGTTATTATTACTATTAGTGTTATTCTTGTTATTATTAATGTTGTATTAGTTGTATGATTATTATTCTTACGATTCGTATTATTATTAATAATATTATGAATAGGATTCATATTATTATCATTCTGACCATTAGCAGTATTATTAATACTAGTATTGGTATTATCCTTACTTTTAGTATTAGTATTGTTCGTATTATTATTTCTCTGCTTCCTCTTCTTCCTCCTCCTCCTTCTCCTCCTCATCCTCCTCCTCCCCGCGGCGCCCGTCTGAAGGTCGGGAAGGGATGTGGTATCAAAGGGATGTGGTGCCAAGGCCGAATCTGGCGAATCTGGCGATGCTACCTGTCGTAGATACAACATCTCCATGCCCAGGATTGGCACCGCACCCCTTTCTGCCACACCCCTCTCCTACCTCCAGACGTCCCGGGTCCCGCGGTCTAGCCAGGCCAGCCAGCCGTGGACCTAGAAGATGAAAAACACCATAAGAAGAACTTGTGGCGCTCCGCGCGGATTTCGTGGATCTGCGCTGGACCCCCCCCCTCCCTGGCGCGCGGAGCGCGCCAGGGGGGGGGCGCGGCGCGGATCCAAGAAACCAGCGCGGAGTGCCGAAAGTATATGCTTATGCCGTTTCCCTTCTTCGAGGATTGGCGCGTGAGCGCTGGCGGAGGTTGCCCCCCCAGCGCATCGGCTCCACCGCGGAGAGGGCGGCACGCCAACGCCGCCTCTGCCCCCCCCCCCGCGCCTTCGCCGATCCCGACCACAGATCAGCACTCATGCTCGGGTGCTGGCGGGTCACCCCTGCGCAGTCGCGGGCAGTCAACCCGCATCGTGAGGATGCGCGGTAAGGATGCGAGGGCCTTTGGAGGCCCATGCCAACGCTTTGGCGAACGAGGCTGGCCAGCGAGAGTCGCCAAGGATGGGCCGAAGGGGCAAGGATGCAGGGGTACCCTTGGGAAGGTTGCCCGTCCTCCGGGGGCGACGATGGGTGCGAACACCCCAGGGGCGAACAGATCCATGTATCCAGAGGCGCCGATGGGGCAGGGCTCCCAACCGAGTGCATGCAATGCCCGCCCCTGGACTGGTCGCCCCCATCCTCGGCTCCGAGTCCTCACCATGCGGGCTGACCGTGCACAGAAGCGCCGGGGGGGGGGGGGACAGGTCCACCGCTGGGGCCACCGCCGCGTCGTTCGGCGGCCCTCCCGCCCCCGAGGGGGGGACGGCGCGAGCCGCCACCCCGCTCGGCCGCTGGACTCGCGGCCCGCCTCGGTGTCCGTCTCTCTCCCTCTCGCTGTCGGCCAGGGGGCCGTCGGCCGCAAGCTCCCTGCGTCTGCGCCAGGGCAGGGGGCGGCGGCGACTCGCCGCACGTAGGCGTCTTTGGTCCATTGACCGCACGCGTACTCTCTCCCTCTCTCTCTCTCTTTCTCTTTCTGCTTCTCTCTCTCTCTCTCTCTTCCTCTCTCCCTCCGTCCCTCCCTCCCTCCCTCCCTCCCTGCCTCTCTCTGGTCTCGAGAGCTTTTTCTTCCAACCCCCTTCTCCCCTCTTCGGGGAGGGGTTTACCCCTCCCCATTACCCCCTCCCTTGGACCTGGATGGGGGTTGTCGCGAGGGGTTGGAGCGTCCAAGATGGCCCAAGGCGGCTCCACGAGTGCCTCGGAGAGCCCAAGACGGCCTCCAAGATGGCTCAAGATAGCGCAAGACCGCTCAAGATGGCTTCCAAGATGCTCCAAGAGACCCAAAGACCGCCCGAGTACGGCTCCAATTGGCCAAAGAGCTCCCCAAGGAGGCCCCGAAGAGGTCAACATCCTTCCAACACCTGAGGGGGCTCAAGGTGTTTTGCTTTCTCGCCTTTTCGCTTCCGATGGCCATCCGAGGCCTCAAGGTGGCTCCAAGATGACCTAAGAGGGCCTCAAGAGGGCCAAGAGAGCCCCAAGACGGCCCCAAGAGCGCCCAAGAGCGCTCCGAGAGCGCCCTCAGAGCGTCCCAAGATGTGACTTTAGGAAACCTGGAAGGGCAAGACTGATTGAAACTCCCTCATGCTTGATCGATGTCTCCCAAGATGGCCCGTAAAACTCCCAAGAGCACCCAGGGCCCCCCGAGGCGCTTAGACGGCCCTAAGACGCCCAAGGGGTCTCCAAGAGGCTCCCAAGAGACCTCCAAGAGACCTCAAGAGGATCCCCGAGGCACCCGAGACGCTCAAAAACGGCCTTGGGCCCGCCAAGATACCTCGCCCAGACGCCCCAAGAGGCCTCCAACAAGCTTCCAACCGACCTCCGCGGAGACCCCGAGAGGCGTTCAAGATGCGTCTGGCTCTTCGGTTCGCCCGTTTCCTCCTCTTCCTTCTTCTGCTGCTCCTCCTCATCCGCAAATTTAGCATCCTCATCCCTCCTCCATCATCCATCCTCCTCCCCCCTCGAACGATAACGACTGTCCCACATCTTGCTCCTACGCTTCCAAGATCGTCTCAACTCGCCTGAACGTCGGTTTTGGATGGGCTGGTGGGGATACGCGAAGCGTCAACAACATCTGTCATATTGTTGTTGTTTCTCTCTCTCTCACACTCTGTCCCTGCCTCTCCCCCTCTCGCCCCCCAGTAGCCATGCCGACACTCCTGGCTGATCGTCTGCCTCACCGTCCCCGCCATCCCACATGCAGGAGAGATAACAATACCACTGCCACCAGCTGTGGGGATGACCGCTCCCTCCCCTCGAGCCGGTGGCTCTTCCTCCCGGGAACTCTCTGGAGGCATGCCCAGAACGAGGTGCCGCCAGCTCGAGAGAGAGAGTGGGATATCCACACCCCCCGGCTGGTGGCAGTGGCACGTCTGCCTCTGGTGTGACCCCTGCCCGGACGCGTGGCGCGATGGTGGCCTGCGACTGCCAGGGTGCCATCTGCGCCCCCATCTGCATGAACGGAGCACCTGCGGAGGGCAGGGCGAGGGTTACGATGTTCTAACGAACTTTAGCCCTGATCGCAAGGAAGAACTTCGAGCACCAGGAGAAAATACCGAAACTTGAAAGGTTCTCACGTGTCCGGCCCCGGGAGGCGACACTCGTTCGACACGGTTTCGGCACTTCTCTGGGTGCTCGAGATCATTTCTGGGAGCCCTTTAAGTACGATGGGAGCAACACAGGGCGGGGGGAGAAGCAGGGACCGCTCGGCCCCTCGGCAGCGGATGGTGCACGGACTCCGCTGCCAGGCAGTGAGGCAGTACAAACGGACTCGATTGGACAGGACACGCGAGAGGACACGAGACCCCTCCGAGGGCCGCATTGCCACAGGAATGCAGGAAGCATCGATCGCGAGCCACAGGACACGAGGGTGCCCCTGATCTGGCAGGGTCGCCCTACCAATCTGGGCCGGCTGTAGGATGTCCGCGCGCTGGCTCGCCCACCTCGCTCTCCCCCCCCCTGTCCCCATGCTGCTCCCACCGTGCTTGAGGACCGCATCCCAGAACTCACCTCGAGCACCCAGAGAGGTGCCGCAACAGCGTCGAACGCGTGTCGCGTCCCGGGGCCCGCCACGTGAAAACCTTCCAAAGTTTCGGTGCTCTCTGGTGCTCGAAATCCTTGCTGGTGGTCAAGGCTTAAGTACACTGGAACATCAAAGATTTATCCCTCTTTCTGCCGCCGCCATCGCGTCCGCTCCCTCCACCCGCATGGCTCGCAAGCTGCCCGCGGGAAGGGCCATCAGGCCCATCGGCTGAAACGAACACGAGCACAGCCGAATCGCCAAACAGCCTTCTCCAAGATCGCAACACAACTGATTATGTTGGCTTCTCGTTCGATCCAACCGTGCCCGCTTTGCTTGACACACTTGGGGAAACCAGAAGGTACCAATACCGCTACTCCCCAGACCTCTCCTGGGGTGCTTCTGACCAGGATTTCGAGGCGAATCCAGCGGTGGCGACGAGGGCCTCCCAAGAGGCCCCCAAAGGAAAAAAACAGGGAAGGGTAGCGGTATGGGTACACAACGGAAGCCAGTCCTCAAGGAACCTTCCGCAAGAAACCCAACCCTGAGACCCCAGACCGTCCATTGATGTTTGGTGTGGGAACGTCGCGCTTTCCATAGAAAAACCATCGAAACCCAAGAAACCCAAGGCACCCTGGAGGCAAGCGAGGTGCTTCTCGGCATGGACCCCCATTTTGGCGGCGAGCGAGGATGGGAAATTAGAAGGAGAAGGCCTTCTCAGAAGGCTCGGAAGTCCCCTGGCCTTCTGAGAATTTTTCTGAGCCTTCCCCGAAAACACAAAAACCTCTGAAAGGCGCCGGGGGCTTCTGAGAAGTCCCGCCGCCTTCTGCGAAGGCCTTCCTTCTCCTTCTCACTTTTCCCCCTCGCTCGCCGCCGAGTGCTTTCCTCCTCCGAACGCTCGGCCCCCTCGTCCCGGCGTGCTCTCGGAGCAGGGCAGCGCAGATGGGCGCTGCGCCGCGCTGCAGCTTCGGGAGAGCGGCCCCGCTCCACGGGGCGCGGCGGCGACGCCGCACGGGGCCTCCTCGAAGGCCCCGCGGAGCCAAAAGGTGCCCTCGGGCACACACATAAAGAGACATACATCGGGGAGACGTAAGACTCGGGTGCGGGGGACCCGGGTTTGCCTGGTGAGGCCATCACCACTCCGATTTTTGACGCGAACTCCCGCCGCAGACATCCCACGAAAACTGCACCGTCAAAATCCAGGACGCGCTCGGCAACAAAACGCCGCCAAACTCGAGTTCCGGCTTACAGTCGAGGCGTTGACCTAAGGAACCCTCAATAAGGAACGAGGCCCCTTTTTTCCATAAGTTCAGCTTCGATTTCCTGTCGAAGACGTCAGGAAAGCCTGAGGCAAGCTGCGAAACACTTGAGGAACGCGGAGCCCCTCCGCAACGAAAAGTGTTCCATATTCAGGGCCCCGGCTGTACTCGAGTCTTACGTCGCCCCGATCTGTTCCTCCTCTGGCCGCTCGGCGTCCTCGTCCAGGCGTGCAGCCTCCGGAGAGCGGCCCCGCTCCACGGGGCGCGGCGGCGGCGCCGCAAAGGGGCCTCCTCGAAGGCCCCGCGGAGGCGAAGGTGCCCCTGGGGCGCACACAGAAACAGACACAATGCCCAGGATGTCCCACATCTTCCCGTACGTTCTGGGTGCTCGTCTTCCCCCCCGCCCAATTCCCGTACTCTCCCACCACACTCTCTGGGAGGTCGACATTTGATGGCGTCTCTGTGCTGTTTCCCCCTCCGGGTGAGCGCCTGACAGGCTCGCGAAGCGGGGCAGCAGCAGGGAGCGCTGCTGCGCCGTGGCCCAACGCAGCTCCTGGGCCAGAAAAATTAAAAACAATCATATTATACCCCCCAAAATGGTTAAAAATTGTAAAAAAAAAAAAAAAAAAAAAAAAAAAAAATAGACCCCGAACAATTTTTGACTATTTCTGAATATTCCCCCTGTAGAGGGACAGGCCCGACTTAAGGCCAGCCCCACGCCTGCGACCCGCAGGCGCCCGCCGAGCTCCAGACGCGCGGCCGGCGAGCGAGCAGGCAGAGCCGGGGGCAGAGCCGGGCGGCACCGAGGCGCTCCGAGGGAGCGCCCGAGGCCAGGGAGGGACACGGCCAGAGGCGCCCAAAGGCTGGGGGGAGGCGGGCCAGGCGCGGAGCAGGAAGCACACGACACCATCCACCTAGTGTCGCAACGGTCTCTCATGGAACCCCCAGCCTGTTTGGGCTGCAAATTCGACGGCTACGCCCTCTTTGAGCCCAAGCTGTGCTGCTCAGTCTTCCAGTACATCGGAGACCCCCCCTTCCGACCCAGCCATGTTGGTAGTGCAGGCGCTTGCTCGACGACGACCACCTGCGACCCACCTGCGACACCAACCCACCTGCGACCCACCTGCGACCCAGCGGGTCGTAGGTGGGGTGGTGTCGTTCAGCTAACCGTCGAAGGTGCTCCAGGCTCCCTCGTAAGGGCCCCGCAACAATACGTGGGGCCCTGCAGCGGGAAGGGGAGCTTTCCACTCGACGAAGGCAACCCCAATGCCATCTTGACGGCGTCGTATACAATGCAGGCAATGCATGCCGATCCGTCGCAAGCAGTCCGGCGTGGTGGCGGCGTCGGCGGGGCCCTCGAGCCAGGCTCGAGTCGAGCAGTGCTCCTTCGCTCGCTGTGCCTTCGCCCTCCTTCGCCTTTCGGGTCGGGAGAAAGGGGGGGGGGTAGCAAAGGGGGGGGTTGAGAGTCAGCTCACATAGCTGATTTTCCCGGCGCCTCCCGGCGCTGGAGGCGGCTATGTATCGAGGAATGGTCCCCTCGGTGAGGCCGAAACCAGCTGCATGCAGCAAATTTCGCACCCCCCCCTTTCCCAATCCCCCCCTTTCGTCCGGCCCGAGCCTTGCCTCCGTTCCGCCTCTGCCGCAAAACGCAGCCGCACGGGGAACGGCCCACGGACTTGCCCCGACCACGGCTCGGGTCCGAGCCCTGCTCTCGATGGGGCCCCTGGCGCCCCCGGCTCCGGCCGCCGCCCGGGCGTCGGGCGGAGAGGGGGCCCCCCCACAGTGGGAAGCCGCCAGCGAGAGCCTCCCCACCGACCCTGACCTTCCAGAGTGCTACAACTCGCCATCGCTCGGACGTCCATTCCCTGTGTTTTTTTTTCGGTTTCGTGCGTGGCCTTTTCGCCAAATGATCAAGGATGCTCCTCGATGGTTCTCGCCGAGAAAAAAAGCACACGTCCGAGCGATGCCAGGACAAAGCAGCACTCCAAACCCGTAGACCCATCTGGACTGCTGGCAACCTCGACTGGCATTTGGGGGTGTCCAGGTCCAGGTGCTGTCTCTTGGGCCTTCCTGGAAGGTCAGCGGTGGGGAGGGGGACTCTCTCCGCAGCGCAGGCCACCGAGCCTGGCAGGGGGCGCCCGCCTCCACGCCATTACCTCCGCGGGCCGCGCGCCCTCCGGAGCTGGCCGCCCGCGCCCTCCAGCGCGAGCTGCCGGGGCCCCCGCCGCCCTGCGGCCCGGGGCGGCGGTCGGCGGAGAGCGCTGGGCGGTGCTCTCTGCCACGTGGCCGAAGACCGCGCTGCACGCAGTGCGCCGCGTCCTCCCCGTCGGCGCCGGCCCCAGGAGCTCCGCGGCGCACGCCTGGTCGCCGGCAGGCGGGGGCGCCGTGTGGGCGAGGCCCGAGCTGCTCTTGCTCCGCGGGCAGTCCCGGCCACGCCGCGGGAGAGCAGCCTTTGTCGGCAGGACGGCCTGCCCTTCCCGCGCAGGGATGTGGCCGCAGCGGCGAAACCTGCTCGTCCCCTCCCTCGAGGGCAAGAACGGGAACGACGCCCACACCCGACAACGTCTTCCCACCCGACAGCTTCCCGCGTCCACACCCGACACTGCCACCTTCCTTGACGCCAAGAATAGCAAGGCTGTCCACACCCCACAGCGTCTCTCCCGACGGAACAGCGCCCGCGGCGACAACGACAGCGAATCGTGCGTAAAGGGAAAGGGAAGGCGACCCGTCTTCACCCTCTCTATATGCGTCCCCGTTTCGGCGCTCCCGACTTGCGAAAAACGAGCAGGAAAGCGATGCCAATCGGGAGAAACCTTGCTCTGTCCACAGGTTTGCGCGCTTCCACCACCGTGTCCTCCTCAGGACACGAACGGGTCCGAGGCCCAGGTGGCACAGACGTGGTGGCCACATCTGCCCGCCCGCCTTGGGCGTAAGTCGGGCCTGTCCACCTACAGGGGAATTTTGGGCGAAAAATAAAACATAGTCAAGAAATTCTCCCAAATGGTCGAACATGCTCGAACAATAGTCCCCGGACTATTGTTTTACTATTTTCGAATATTCCTCCTGTAGAGGGGCAGGCCCGACTTAGCCTTGGGGCCCCTAGACAGCACAAAAGGGGGACCGTGCAGCGACAGCACCTTGCGAAGGACTTGGCAGGCGGCGCCTCTGGTGCCGACCCTGGGGCGCTTCGCGCGCCAGGGCAGGGGGGGTCCCACGCCGACCTCAGGACATCCGCTCGGAACCGAGACAATGGCTCATCTGTTTCAAATCTTGGAGCCCTGCCGAGGAGGGGCGTCTGCACAACATCGTCTGGGAGTCAGCTGCCTCGTTAGCGGCAGCCAAGAGCTGTGCCCCCCGCGCGGTTCGGGCGGGACGTCCCGCTCGTGAGGGCGGCCCGGGGACCAGATGGTCGCAGGGCGAGGTAAGGTGAGAGATGTGAAGACATTGTTGGTCGCCGGAGCGAAGAGATCAGGTGGAACTGGGGAGGTGAGCCCCGCCCTGGGAAAATTCGCCTCCTTGCGCCACACCCTATACGCCCACCAACCTGCCTCCTCCACCTCCTCCTCCTCCTCCTCCTCCTCCTCCTCCTCCTCCTCCTCCTCCTGCTTCTCCACCACCTTGCAAACGGACGTGCAGAATGTATCACATCACCGCTCGTCGCTTCGAACTTTCCTCGCGGCAATTCCCACTCGCAATCATCGCTATTATCGTCTCCTTCTCCAGACAGACCTCTCCCCCTCCCATCGGTACTGGACAGAACTCCCTCTAGCAAAACACCCTGTAGTGAAAACTACCTGGGACCAGACCTGACGGTCGCTAGCCCACAACAACTGCTGCCGCGCCTCCACAAGCTCTCGAGAACCAAAACCAGGCAATTCGCTGATCGACCTGGCAGGGTGGGGAGTTTATCATCATCCGATCCCGCCCGCCCAATGTTCCTCCAGGTGCCTCCCACCCTCCCCTTCCTCCCGCCCCGTCCCGTCAGCCCTCCCCGCGCCTCGGCCCGCCTCCCTCCCTCGCTCCTCCCGCGGCCGCGGCGGGCGGGATCACCGCGCGGGTCCGACGTGCGCGGCTTCTTCTTGCGGCGCGTCGTCTCTCCTGGCGGGCCGTGCAGATGAACACGGGCGCACAGCTGCAGCAGTCGCACCGTGCAGGCGGGCACCGGAAGGCAGGCGAGAACGGAGACGGGTTGACCTGGGGCAGCGGGGACACACGAGACGTTGACCCCCGGAACAGCCCCTGCCAAACTGGACGATGGTTCGGAAACGGCAGCCTGATCGCCGCCACCGCTCCTGGCCAAGGTCGTTCTGGGCCCTGAGGCGGTGTGTACAGTCACCTGGCCTTGGCCAGGAGGGCAGAGAGGAGACGAGGAGAAACGACAGCGACGACGAGGATGGCGGCTGGCCCTAATGTCACCCTGAAAGACCCTCGAGAACCCCTTGTTGGAGGCCTGGAAATGGGCACCAACACCAACACAGGGGGTTACCTCCACAGGGGGAAGATGACCCCAGATTTCGGTAGTGGTGGTAATGTTGCGGCCACCTCGGAAGCCAGGATATCACCACCATCACCGAGATCGGGACCTTCTTCCCTCGGTGGAGGCGCACCTCCGATATTGGTGCTGGTGTCAACCTCTAGGCCTGCGGCCCTGGGCCGCCCCCTACGGCTCACTCCGGAGCCCCTCCGGGGCCCAGCGCAAAATCGAGACGGGCCGTCGAGGAGTGGCAGGAGGAGGCGGCCGGCAGCAGCAGCAGCAGGCAGCAGTCAGCGGCGACGACGAGCGGCGACGACGGCACTCTTGCTTCCGTCGACGAGCGACGAGCGAGCGGCGACGAGCGACGAGCGTCAGCGACGACGACGAGCGGCGTCGACGACGAGCGGCGCAGCGCCAGCGCAGGCAGTACTCCGTAACCTACCTGCCTTCGGGTTGGCGGAAGAGGCGGCGGCATTTGGGCATGAAGCAAAACCCTGGGAGATGCCATTCGGGGGCGTCCAAGAGGGGGGTGCCCAAGAGGGGGGGGGGAGCAAATCGTGGCCCGAGGCATGTGCGCGGACCAGGGGGGCCAGGGAACGCATTGAAATAAGAAGAGGGGCCATGACATCTGGGGAGATCTCATGGCCCCCGCCATGATAGCCCCCCCCCTGGTCATCACCCCCTCCTGGCCGCCCCCGAGACATCCATCAAACCCTAGGAGATGTCATGGCGCCCGCCGCGATGCCCGCCCTGCCAAGTCATCACCCCCCTTGTTGCGGGCGCCCCATGACCAACAGCACACCCGAACGCTGACCCAGGCAGGCTGGGGCACCCACCCAGGCACCGACCTGTAGGCAGGGGCGATCGGGGGCCGATGCTGCCCTCCCGTGAGCCAGCTCCCCCCCCCATGTCCGCAACCCCGATCGTCCCCCTTCGAGCCTTCGAGCCGTGGGCTTCAGCACCACGTCGGCGCAGCACCCCCCCACCAGCCTTCGCCGCTGGGGTGGGGGAAGAAAGTGATCGTTGCCGTCGTCGTCCTCGCCCTCCTCCCCCTGCTCCTCGGTCGATCGGCCGATTGGGACTAGGGCATTGGTGTGTGTGTTCTAGGACGTAGCCCCTGCCGAAGAACAAAAGCAGTGAACAGTGCAACGGGGAGACGACGACAACGGTGACACCAGGGGTGTCAATTCAGCCCATGAGAGCCGGGACGTTGAAGCCAGCAAAATCTGCCCCGGCATTGTCAGACATGGCCGGCATTGTGAGACATGGGTCCCTGGTGAGGTCCCTCCTCCTCCTTCTCCTCCTCCTCCTCCTCCCTCCCTCCCTCCCTCCCTCCCTCCCTCCCTCCTCCCTCCCTCCCTCCCTCCCTCCCTCCCTCCCTCTCTCCCCTCCTCCTCCTCTCCTCCTCCTGCTCCTCCTGCTGGTCCTCTTCCTCCTCCTCCTCCTGGTCCTTTGAGAAACACAATGCTGCATCGGCATACTTTCTCGAAAGTACGCACGGACTTTCCGCTTCGGCGCTGGACCCTCTCCCTGGCGCGTGGGGCCCGCCAGGAGCGGCGGAGGCGCCGCCAGGGAAAGCCCCAGCGCCTATCCAAAGCGTCTGCGAAGAGCTCCGAAAGTATATGCCTATGCTAGACGAGCGCGTTCAACTACTCTTAGGTCGGGCATGTCCCCATAGAGGCGGATTTTGCACGACAATAAAAATAGTCGAACAATACTCCAAAATGGTACAAATAAAAAACAGAAAGTAAACGTCACCAGGCTATTGTGTGACTATTTTTGAATATTCCCCCTGTAGAGGGACAGACCCGACTGAACACTACTCATCAACAGAACCACTCGCAAATAGCCTGGATCCGCCGCGGGGAACCCACGATACGTTGCATCGAAGCAGACCTGTGTCCGTTGGACGTTGGTGAGGGGGCTCTTTGCGAGTCGTGGAGCGCGCTCGGTGATGCGTAGCCTGCTTTGAGCAGAGACCGACCGTCCTGGCATTCCTGTAGGCCTGCCACGAAGTATTATTAGAAACCCAGGTTGCTCGAATAACAAAAGCAATGCTCATAGAACATAAACCCAATGCATAAAATAAGATAGTCTCAGACAGAGATGCTCTAAGAGCATTTCGCGCATACCACCAAAGGTTCTCAGAACTTTCTTTCGTGGGCCTATAGGCAAGCCAAGACGCTTCGCCAGTGCTTGACTGCTCCCCTTCGACTCCTCTGGCCCTGGGCTTAGGTCGGGCATGCCGTCCTACAGGCAGATTTTGGACGAACAATTAGACATAGTCCAAAACTACCCCTAAAACGCTCAAAAATGACAGGAGAGTCGTCCCCATGCTATCCTTTGACTATTCTTGAATACTCCTCCTGCAGAGGGACAGGCCCGACTTAGCCCTGGGCCGCCCCGCCGCCCGGCGCGCGGAGCTCCGCAGCTGCTCGAGGACGACCCCCCGCCCACGGCGTCCACGTCCTGCCGGGCTCGGGGACGCGCAAGCATGGACTCGCGATCCCTGGCCCTGGTGCGCGGTCGCCAAATCCATGGATCGGGGGAGGTGAAAGGGGCCCTGGGACACACAAATAATACACACAAATAAAAGGATTCCCCATATTTTTCCACATGTTCTGAGTTTTTGTCTTCCCCCCCACTTCCGATAATTTCCCCTATTTTCTCGGGAATCGACGGTTCATTGTGTCGGATGCGTGTCGCGGAGGCGTCTAATCCGTGTCGACTCCGTTTCGGCTCCCCGCCGGATCCGCGCCGACGTCGCGTCAAATCCGCGTCGAACCCGCGCCGGAGCACAAGCGAAGACCATCCCTTATGGGGCAGGACGGGCCCACCAAACATGCAAAGTGAGCCAAGGTCGGCCGACGTCGGCTAGCTCCAGGCCGCCCTTGAAGGGGCCCTGGGACACGCAAATAAATACACACAAATAGCAGGATTCCCCATATTGTCCTATATTTTCTGGGTTTTTGTTTCCCCCCCCACTTCCCATATTTTCCAATCCCTTCTGGGGAAGCGACGATTGATAATTGTGTCTGTGTGTCTCTTTTCCCTCCTGACAGCGATGCAAAGCGAGCCGAGGTCGGCCGACGCCGGCCAGCTCCAGGCCGCCCCGTGCGCCCGCACAGGGCGCCTGTGCGCGGCACGGCGCCGGCGCGGCACGAGGCCCGACCGAGCGTGGCCGTGGCCTGCGGGCACCCTCAGCCCGACGCCTCGCGCCGCGCGGAAGTCCCGTCGCGTCGACGTGGGTCGGGCTGGGCGAAAGGTTGATCGGGGATCTTCTGGCCCGGGTCAATCCAGACCCGGGTCAGCGGGAAACCAAAAACTGCAATGCAGGAAAAAAAAACTGCAACACAGGTCTTCGCAAACCCGGGTCAGCCAATGGGCGCGGCCGCCTCGCGGCCACGAGCGGCTCGCTAACCCGGGTCAGCCAGAGGTGTCCTTCGCCGGATCCTGCAGGATCCGGCGCCGCCCTGGCTGACCCCCGTCTGCACTGATCCCCGTCTCGAGGCTCCCGAGTTGAGCAGGGACCGACAGTCCCGGCATTCCTAAAGTCCTACCACGAAGTGTTCTCAGAACCCAAGAATGTTCTAAGAGCAGAAGCACTGTTCTTAGAACATAAACCCGATGTGCGAAAACAAAATTAGCCTGGCGAAGAACCCAACCCCGAATTTTAACGCGGGGCGACTATAAACAGGACCGCTCAATGCACGAAAACACCTTGAAGGGCCTCCAAAATCCCTGGAGCGTTGCGCCAGAGAATGTCAAACTACTCCCGCCGTCGCCCATTCACGCGCGCACTCTCACGACTCACGTTGGAAGCGAGGACTGCTGCGAAACGCGTGAGAGGCGTGCAGAAACGGCACGAAGGCGCCATGCGGACCCTGCCACTGGGGCCTTCGGTGGAGCTCCCTAGGGGCCACGAACCGTGTGAGGGGGTGAGCCGAAATGGTCGGGGCGGCCGCATGTGGACCCTGCCACTGGGGCCTTCGGTGGAGCTCCCAAGGGGCCACGAACCGTGTGAGGGGTGTGCCGAAATGGTCGGGGCGGCCGCATGTGGACCCTGCCACTGGGGCCTTCGATGGAGCTCCCTAGGGGCCACGAACCGTGTGAGGGGTGTGCCGAAATGGTCGGGGCGGTCGCATGTGGACCCTGCCACTGGGGCCTTCGGTGCAGCTCCCTAAACGGCCACGAACCGTGTGAGAGGTGCGCCGAATTGGTCGGGGCGGCCGCATGTGGACCCTGCCACTGGGGCCTTCGGTGGATCTCCCTAAGGGCCACGAACCGTGTGAGGGGTGTGCCGAAATGCCCGGGGCGACCGCATGTGAACCCTGCTACTGGGGCCTTCGGTGGATCTCCCTAAGGGCCACGAACCGTGTGAGGGGTGTGCCGAAGTGGTCGGGGCGGCTGCATGTGGACCCTGCCACTGGGGCCTTCTGTGGAGCTCCCTAGGAGCCATGAACCCTGTGAGGGGTGTGCCGAAATGGTCGGGGCGGCCGCATGTGGACCCTGCCACTGGGGCCTTCGGTGGAGCTCCCTAGGGGCCACGAACCTTGTGAGGGG